CTTGAATCTGATAGAATCAAGAGTGTTTTTTCTTGTCGATGTTTTTAAGAGTCTGGACTCTAGATCCAATGTTTTTCTTTTCCAGTGCAGCGTATGAGGGAATAATAAATAGCACTTGGAAGCTCTTTCCCAGGTGCAACGGTTCAAGGCACCCCGGAGAGGAGCCAAAGCAACGCTCTCGGGAATCGTGGAGATAGAGCATGAACCGCGGAGTCTCGATAATCTGAATGATTGTTTTCAAGGCGAAGGGAGAAAGAAAATGCCTCATTGCAATTACCAGTGGCATGCAGAATCCAGAGACGCCGTATATCCAGCACCTGAGATTGCCGTCTGCGCCTTTTGTCTGGCTATGGGTTCGGGTTCGACGACCACACCGGACTTAAAAATTCATATCTGCCTCTCGTTACATTACTATCATAGCGGAAAAAAGAGGTGTTTGCGTCTGAGGATTGTTTACCCCGTGACGTCACTGGAAATAATACACATTGGATCTAGAGTCCAGACTCTTGAAAACATCGACAAGAAAAAGTACTCTTGATTTAATCAGAATCTAGCTTAAATCAAGAACCAAGCCTCTTAATTTAAGCGGATTTCGTTTTGATTCAAGCAAAAATCCGATTGAATCAAGTGTATTTTTTCTTGTCAATGTTTTCAAGAGTCTAGACTCTAGATCCAATGTGTTTTTTTCCAGTGTAGGTCGGTGCAAATGCTCTGGCAAAATTCGGAAATCGAAGTAAGAGAAATTGACCATAACGTCCGATTTTTTTTACTTTAATTAACTCATGATATAATTTCCAATACTTTATATAGAATGACTTTTTCCATAAACTACACCATTTACAAGAAAATGACCCGATCGTCCGTACGTCATCAAAAAAGTCCAAGATGCCCGAAATGCAGACACCTCCTTTTTTTTCTCTATGCATCACTATTCACGCCATCAGCGTGAACTTTTAGAGGATCCGGATATTGAAGTCATCCTGACAAGAAGAAATAAAATAATATTGATGAAAGTGGAGAAACTATTTTGAACCGATTCTTTTTCAAAATAACGTATATGCGCCAGAATTTCAAAAATTTGGTTTTAATGCATCATTTTTGCACACACCAAGATGCATCTTACAGCAAAACTACGTTTTAGATGATCGAACCCGAAGGTCTCAAAAAAGCTTTTGAATTTACAGTTCTCCGACCGGTTACGATCTAAAATATAGTTTTCCCCGTTTTTCTTGAAATCGTGTTTGTGGCGCTTACGTATTTTGGTAAAATAATCGGTTCATTTAGCATCTTCATAATTAATTTGAAGAAAAATTCACCCAAAGCCCAAAAATTCGAAACGTAAACTTTGGCCTGTGCCGCGACTTTATGGTACTCAAAGGAAGACGACACCCCCCCCCCCCCCCCCCCCCCCCCCCCNCGTGTGTCCCCGCTGATGTCTCGAATGTAATTTTTTCGCTTTTTTCAAGTTTTCTTTTTTCATGAATGTATGCGCCCGATTCTTTCCGAGGTAATTTGATTTCCGCAGTGCAGGAAAAGAACCCTCGGTACACTAATTGACTAATTGGTTATGTTATATAGACGATGGGTTGCCATTTCAATGCAAATAAACCAAATGCTTCTGGATTTGCGTTCGAGGCCCGACCGACTAGCGGCAAGCCTGCGAGGAAAGCTCAACCCCGGTGAAAGCTCAAGTGCCGCATTAGCTTTTGATCCAAAGCCCGGATCGAAAATATCGACGGAGCTTGTTTACTCGCGGCTTTGAAGTCCCACTCCTGATTTTTTCGCTATTTTTTTTATATTTATTTTATTATTACTCTTCGGTTTGATTCATTTAAATACATAAATGTCCTCGTTGCCCGCCTGCTTCTTCGGCGATTCCAGACCTTCGTCTCCCTGTGCGAAAGAGGCGCTGTGTGCCTGAGAACTCTGACCTCTGTTGCAACTTTTTACGTATCGATAGCATAACGCTACCTCGATGTTGATCTGTGGTTAAATTTTTTAAAATCAAAGCCAGTGAATAACATGATTTTTTTTTCTTTTTTCCATAAGTATTGCTTTATTGAGACCCTCTACATGATTACACTGAAAAAAAATATCGGTGTATTTACTAAGAAAAGGGTGAAATTACCAAGAATTCAGGGTTCTATTTGATCCCAGTTTTTTCTTGGCAAAATTACCATTTATGGAATTGGTAATTTTTCCGAGAAATCTTGGTAAAATTATTGACATTCTCGGTAATTTTACTGGACCCCGGTAAAAACGCCAATATTTTTTATCGACTGTGGTAGAATTACCGAGATAAAATGGCAAAGTTACCGGGAATTGATTACCAATAAAAGTGGTATTCTTACCTGAAAAAACAGTATAAATACCGGTTTTTAGGTAAGCTTACCAGTCTGTCTTGGTAAAATTACCAATAATTAGTAAAAAAAGTGAGGTGGTAAAGGTACCAACGGACCAACGGACCTTGGTAAAAGCGCCGAGAATTTTTTTTCAGTGTAGAAATATACACATTGCAGAATAACATTTTTGTTTGAAAGTTATTCTTAGCCTTTTCTAATCTCCGCGATTTCATCCTTAGTGCTTTTGTCTTCCCTAAGGTACAGCTTCCTACTAGTTCTGTTATGAAAACATCTTGCGTCAAACTTTTCACTAAATGCGCCGTAATACATAGGCATGGCCCCTAAAAAATCTTCAATGGCGCCTAAAAATCGGGCTTGATGCGCCACATGGCTCCTAAAACTCAAAGGTGAGTTTCGAACACTGAAACCGACGGTATTTTATCCATACATTGCAACTCTGTTAGCATTCGCGGGGGTTGAAGTGGTTCGAATCGAAGGTTCCGCAAAATTGTGTGAAAGCTTCCGCGTTTTTGGCCGCTTTGATATTGCGTTTGATGTTGCCGTAATGAGTCGTGAAAAATAATTCGTTTTCTCCGAAATAGTTCCGATCAGGGCGCGTCCCTCGCTAGTCCGGCATCAGCGTTCCAGTTACCGATCAAAGACATCAAGATATTGAGTGGCCTAACCACGGTGGAATCCCGCTCAAAGACGGCCTTTGCTAGAACTCAGGATTCGTGAGATATTAACATTGAAAATAAGCTTAATATCTCGAATATTTTGAGGAGTCCGCATAATAAAGCAGGAAGTTCCATATTTCTATTAATTTTTACCCGACGTATATACTCTTTAATTTTTCAGGTATTATAAGGGCCGATCAAGTAGCACGTAAAGCACTTCGACAGAATCCCCCCCCCCTCCTCCCTCCTGGAGGGCACCCTCCGGACAACTTGTCATCCATTTTTGAACTATGTAAAACTGCATGGACTCGGTTGGACATTAAGTAGTGTATTACATTTTGCAATGAGGAACCACCATTTTTGGCTCTTCCGTAAAAGCGTACCTTTCTGCATAGGGAAACCAATGACACATATGCTGTTTATAAAATGAGCCAGAAACAGTGGTTCCTTACTGCAAAAAGTGGTCCACATAAGCTCCGGGACACCTCAATATTACTCCTCGGTTGGACATTAAGTGTATTATATTTTGCAATAAGGAACCTCTATTTTTGGCTCTTCCGTAAAAGCACCTCTCTGCATAGGGAAACCAATGACACATATGCTGTTTCTAAAATGAGCCAGAAATGGTGGTTCCTTATTACGAAATGTGGTCCGAGTGTTCCATCGCGTGCTTGAGTTCGTCAAAAATGTATCGGTCTCTTTTCAAATATCCTAAAAAAGCGACGAAGATGTAATATCAATGAAACGTGTGCGAGGGTAGAGAAGTTTACACCAAGCATTCCGATCAATTTTGGATTGAGCCCAAAAATGTTCGATCAAATTTAACTCACGCCCAACGCGTAATGTATGTGTGCGAATCGGCATTGTTGCACAGCCCTGTGAGAATTTGGTTGTTTACATCACTTTTCACCGAAAAATTCTGATCGTCATTCACACATGGACAACATTTGGACCGCTTCAGCAGAAAGGAACCAAGCCACATCAGCTATCACCAAGTTTAACCGGGCATTTTAATTTCTTACAAGAGAACGTTTGTGGGGATTCCTTTGAAAATGTCAAGGAATTTGCTGAAATTCGCACAAAAATCTGCACGACCGTTTCCATGTAAAATATTAAATTGCCCAATTAAATTTGGCAATAGCTGATGTTACTTGGGTACTTTCTGCTTAACGCGGTCCATTTTTAATCGGCTTCTGAACCCCTCCCGCTACTCTCTCTCCAGCATCTCGAAGGGCGAAACCGCAAATAAAGCCATCGTTATATTTTCAATTTTGATCCCAAATTTTGCATTTGGAAATATTTTTTCCTGTCATGAGTCAATCAAGTTTTTGCCGACAAGGAGGACATGCCGGGAATGTAAGTATCTTCGTTAGTCAGCGAATTGAACTCCTTCGAAAATGAAGTATCTCGCTAAACGCGAAGAGGACCCTTCAAAACCTCATGATACAACTATTATTGTTCAACAGACGTGCGTGTTGCGTGTGAAGGGTATGAAGGCGCTTTAACTTGTCCTGCCCGTCAAGCGTCGCAAGTGGCTGGCGGAAAGTAAAGTAACTACAACGGTAGTCAGCGAAATGCATTCTCATTAAAGTCCGTCCGATGTGAATACTTAATGAAGACACATTTTTTACGAGTTTTACAAGTATTAAAGTTTTTTTTCCTAGTTTTACGAGTTCTTACCACTCATCGTTTCCTGAAGATTTCGGGTTTTAGGTATCATAATTAAAAGTGACTGGGAATGGATCGCACATTGAGGAACCGAGATTGATTGAGTTGAAAGTTGAAAGAGAGGAAAACTCTGAACAAAATGAAGAGACTCTTCCTTTAAAAGTGAGTTTAGTCATCAATTTCCATGAAAAAATGTACGTATCAACGAACTGGATTTATTCATTATAAACCAGCCATAGTTACAAATGTCAGTGATGTATGATTTAAAAAAAAAAAGAAATTATCAGGAGAATGTTGTTTTCTTTGGTTTCAGGGTGTCGTAGTGACCAATTTACATGCAGTGATGGCCAGTGTATTGACTCATCACAACGTTGCGATTTGGCATTCGACTGCAAAGATGGTGGCGATGAAGAGGGATGCTGTAAGTAAACGGGAGAAAAATATACTCGTGTTTTTGTCTGAGTGCTTTTGCCTCTTTGAAAAGTCATAACTTGATCACTCTCTGTTAATGATTTCTTTAGAGGTTTATACTGAAGGTTTCCTACACAGTAAATAAGGCTTTTAATGAGCCTGAAGTTGTAATCAATTATCTGCAAGTATAGAAGATGTCATGTAGGTTTATTTTGCAACGAGTATATGAAAGCTCCTTTTCAGAACCTAAAAAATAAAAGCATTGCTCCATGCATAATGCCAAGAATGAAGAAGTATTAAAACAAGATAGTTGATCTAGGAAGTCTCAGGAAAAAGTAAACGTTTATTTTTATTGCATTTAAATCATTTTATGACTTTTCTGTTTCCTGGTCCTCTGAAACATTAAGATTACTTAATTGTGAAATAAAATTGGCACATTTTCTACCTCAAATTGCTCCAGTTATGAAAATTGTTGATCCCAAGTAAATTTAGAAAACTGGAAAGGGATGGCCTTAAGCAATTTTCTAACTTCACAAAGCTCAATGCGTCAAATTTACCTGTTTGGCTCGTAAGTAAAACGAAGAGGCTAAAGCCAATCAAGGCGCCAAAATATTAGCGCAGCCTCAATTTTCTTGTGCCCTTGTTCCTGGGCAAATTTCTTGTTGCATTATCAAACATTTTTTTGGCTCCTAAAAATTATGCTTGCCTACCAAGTGGCTCATAAGAGTTTGGAGTGAAATCAGAATAATGGTTTCTGGGCAGTCAAGGATGTGACACAAAAATAGAAGTACCAAAAATGTTTGCTCCAACATAGGCTTAGATCATCACCAACTCTAGTCTTGAATCCTAACTTTATCAAAAGTCAATTTTAATCATTATATTCATTGAGAGTATAATTTTCTATGAAGTAGCTTTTCTCTTGTCAGCTAAAATTGAGTATCTCTGTGTTTACCTAGCTTGCAAAGACAACGAGTTCCTGTGCGATGGTGGTAGGTGCATACCGCTCAACAAAAGATGTAACTTCAGACGTGACTGTGAAGATGGAACTGATGAGCTCAACTGTGAAGTAACAATTCCAACAACAGGTAAATTTTTTTTTATATATATATCTGCAAGGTTTCCAGAAGGCTGGAAAACCTGAAAAGTTTAGGAAAGTCAGGGAGTTTTTGGCTACTCAGAAAATTCAGAGAATATCGTAAATAGCGTGTTGGCTAAGCAATTTCAGTCAATGCCATCAGGGAGAGCGCGCACAACTGTGGAATGCCTTTTTTATGATTGGATAGGAAAACCTAATCAGTTTCTTAGTCAGAAACTTATTTTTTTAGTCCTTGTTATAAATGGATGGCATATGTTAGAAATCAAGATGGAGATTTTAATATGAAAATTCTGATCTTAAAGTGAAGGAAACTAGGTGAGAGTGATTTCCTCTGTGATCATAAAATTTTATGAATATAAAGTAGTAGAGAAGTGTCAATCTGAGTCTCCAACCACAAAAAGGGAGTTGTCAGTCAGTACCTACTCAGGGCTATAATTCCTCTCTCCCCCCTCCTCCTCCTACCTAATGCCTAAAGATTCTGTATTCCACCCTTTTCTCCTTTAATCTTGCTCAAAGTTCAATTCAATTATCTCTGAGCAGAAGAAAAATAAAATTGAAGTTGAATTTTTTTTAATGCTTACTTCTAGAAAAAACATTGAGGCGATGTGAAGAGGGTAAAGAATTTAAGTGCCGCGATGGAATGTGTATACCCATCGAGAAAAAATGTGATAACTTTGATGACTGTAAGGACAGATCTGACGAACAAGCTTGTCGTAAGTCAATTTAAGGACATATCACTGAATGGAGAGCATTTCTTTACGTTTTGTCCCGGGAAGTCACTCAATGTGTTGCACCAAGTCGAGGAATTGAGTCTTTCACTTTGTTAAACAGTCTTGTCAATGAAACGTGTGAAAATTGTGAAAAAGGTCTTGTCAAAGAACTTTGAGTAAAAATAGGGGTCTATCTTGCTTCCAATGGAAAGTTAAGAATAAGGAACTTGTAGTTCCGGTGTATTTTTGGTCATTACCTAAATGAAAACTTTAGCTTTAAAACCAAAATCGATCCTAAGTTCACGCTATCATTCATTCAAATATTTCTCTCCCCCACCACAGCAATTTTTCTCAAAAATTGCAACTTGGGTTATTACAATCCGAGTATTGCCTCTTCTCTGAACACTAATATAGAGGAAAATAATTTCCAAAAACAGTAAAGATGCAAGAAACCATTGTTTTGTAATGTATTGTACTAATTGTCAGTCCAATTTTTTTAATGAGTTTAGATTTAATGACCAGAAATACTTAGATTACTAGATTTTAAATTATTAGGGTTTGAGATTCTATTTCGCCTGAACTAACTCAAACTGAATAAAATGAACATTCCATCCCAACTCACGTTTTTTCCTGACTCATGTTACTGAGAGAATGCATACTCTCCTTGCTGATAAATCCCTTATTCAAAACTTGCACGTAAAACTTCAGAGTGTCTTTTGTTGATGTCACTTACATCATTTCAAGATTCACCCCTTGAGTATTGAGTTACAATTTATCATTAAATTTTTTTAAATAGTAATCATCAAAGTGAATGGCTCATTTTTTGATTAATTCGGCAGGTCTTATTGTTGTCTATTATTGTTCGAAACGAGTTCTTCTTAAACTAGTCTTCTGTTCCAAATCAGGGGTCTTTTTTGATGTTGTGTTGTTCGATACGAGTTCTTCTCAATCTACATTCGTTCTCTATTCCAAATCACGGATCTTATTATATGTTGTGTTGTTCGAAACGAGCTCTTCTCAATCTAGTCCTCTGTTTCAAATCACAAGTCTCTTTTGACGTTGTGTTGTTCGACCTAAGTTCTTCCCAATCTAGTTCAGGATTGCAAATCACCCTCTGTTGCAAATTACCTCATACTCTCTCTTGGAAGGAATCCATTTCACCATCATGTTTTGATTTGTTTTTTCTTTCAAGAATTAAATGTATTTACTAGATAAAGTCTGTCTACAATGAAGTTCACAAGGAAGTAGACTTTCTTAGCATGAATGCTCTCAAGATCTTGATGAGAAAAGTTTTTTGTTTCCTTAGAACTGTTTTAGAAATATTTGCATAAAATACCTATGCAGAAAAGAAGAATGCATTTTATCTTGTTATTCTTTGAATCCATCTACACCTTATTTCTCATGTTTTATGTTGCTCTGAATAGTATTATGTGTTTTTCCTTTGCTCTGGTAACTATTTATCAGTCGATAGTCTCTGTAAGCACTGTATTTCATAATTTTTCCTTGCGAACCACTTCCTATCGATATGCCTCTCATCAACTCATCCTTAAATTATCAGATATCCTTGTTGGGAAATATGCTTGTATTACATCAGGTAAGTAGTCTTTAACATCAACGTTTTCATCAAAGTAACCCATGATTAAATTCCACTACAGCAAAGTCTCACTAGTGAGCTGGTCAACTATGTAGGTACTAAACGTAATCGCTTATTTCTACAATAAAGCCACAAAAACACATATTTTGTTTACAGTATTTCAAAATCTTTGCTCCTATCTGCATCATGTCTCGAAATTTCATGGAATATCCTCTCCACAGAGTGAATAATTTACAGAAACTTTCAAGGTATGATGCTAAATAGTTTTAGGGCCAGATAGGCAGGGTATTGGAGTGTAGCACCCCAAGCCGCGTGGAACAAGTTTTTCTATGATTATTCTCAATTTTTTTCCCTCTGCGAGTTGTTTAATCAAAGTTTGGAGGAGGGGGGGCTGAAGTCTTGGGAGATTTTTGAGACTTTGAGAGGTCCTGAAAATTAGATTTCAAGGGTCTGCAGCCCTTCGTTTTCTTGGAAACGTAGACCGCTTTCAATTTACAAAGTATGCAACTCTTAATGTGTAAGCCCTTTACCTGCCAGCACCCTGGGCCCTCAATTGCTAATCTGGCTCTGTGTAGTTTTCCATTTAGAAAATGAAGTAGTTTTTAACATTGTAACCGAGTTCTGCTTCCCTGCAATTTCACGTCAATTTTCAAATCTTTATTTATTTTAAATTTTGCTTCTGGCCACATCTCATTTTTTTTCATTTTTTATTTTTGCTTACTATATATTTGCTTTGTATTAGTATGCTTCTTAAATTTGGTTTTTTGAGCAACGATTTCCTCTTTTTATCATTTATATATAATGTGATGGTGTGTAAAATATGCTTGTTTGCTTACAGTATTTTTTTTTTGCTCTTCATTTTTTTTTCCATCTCACATGATTTGTTTTAACTTTGGCTCAATTTTTTTTTCTCATAGTTTGCTGATAATTATTCCATTTTAACAACCATTCATTATAAAGAAGTCCAGAGTGTGAAAGAAGTATTTTAAGATTTCTTCTTAGTTTTTGGATTGAAATGTAACAAATCCTATAACATTGAGCCAGTGTAAGAATTCTGTACCTGAAAATTTTAAAAAATCAGCTAAATCTATTTTAAATTGTGATTAATACACCCTATCTTTACCCGATTTTAATTTAAATATCATTTCTTTTTGATATGTATCATTGTCTTGAATTATTTTACAGCATGCCGAGAGGACATGTTCCACTGTAACAATTCGTATTGTGTACCTATGTTCCGGCGTTGCAACAAAATTAATGATTGTCAGGATGGATCAGACGAAATGAATTGTCGTATGTTTGCTTTACTCAACTCCCTGTTATTTTTTGCCCCCAAAGAAATTTTCTATTTATCTAAACTTACTTTTAAATAGGTACTGTCAATAGGTATTCACGTAAAATTTCATGGATGCCAAAGATTGATCTGAGACCGTTACGTGAAAAATAAATTTCATGTTACCTCTTTCACAAGAGCCATTTCATATTTTTCTCAACTTACAGCAATCTAATTTTAGATTCCTCCCCTTTTTCTTGGTGCAGTAATTATTATAATAACTGCGTTAACTCATCAATTATTCATTTTATATCAATTTTTTTCTCGTTTTCCATTTGTAAATTATTTCTTAGAGTTCTCTCATCTTGCTTCATATTATCATTCATCAATTTTTATTACATGCCTTAAGTGCCTCAAGTAATCTATCTAATATTGCTCTGCGTATTTTGAAAGTTTTTCAGTTGATCTTGTCTAATAATATTGCATGACCATCGTAGATATTGCTAATTTTCATCACTCTACTTCATTGCATTCTCCATTTAAAAGCCAATACGTACTGAAAAAACTTGTAGAAGTTTTGAAGCACCTCCAAAAGTTGTCTTGTTCTGTAAGAATCCCAAAAAATAGATAGTTATAAAATCATTTTCGAAGACAGGTTGTAAATACTTGGCAAAGTTCAGAACCAGTGTCGAACAGCAAATTACACCACCAGAGTGGCGAAGCCAATATTATGTAACATCGGTCAAAATGATTATACATTGTTTGAGGCAAATCTACAGCAGGAGTAAGCAAACGTCAAGGTATCAAACACATCTCGCTCTAGTACAGGTTGGGCTCTAAAATTTGGCCTAAAAATTTTAAACAATTACGACCAAGGGCACATTTTAGCTGTTGCTCTCAAAAGAATCTATTTGCAAACGTTAAAATAAAGCTGAAAGTATGCAAACGTGAAAACAAACTGTTTGATTTGACTAACTAAATGCAATACTCTGCGCTCTCATACTTTCAGCTGTATTATAGGGTTTACAAAATAAATTCTTTGGGGGAAAAATTGCTGAAACGTTTTTTAGGCAGGATCTGTATTTCGCCAGCAAAAATTGAAATCGGTAAATCAGCAAAATTTGTTTGATAGCTTAATGTTTGTTTGCTTCTGGTATAGATAAACCTTAACTCATTACATACAATATTCCTGTAAATTGAGACAACTTACTTTCAAGTAGAAGTAACTTCGCAGTAACATATCTCTAAAATTTGTTGAAACAACTTCCTTATCTCCAAAAATATTTATCATAATTTTGATCTTGTAAAATTCAGATAGTTCCCTTCATGGACTCGTGAGATTTGAACTAATTTGTGCTTTGCTTAAGCTCGATACTGATTAATGCCCATTTATTTGCTGAAATATGATTAATACATTTAATTCATCATTAAATCTGTCAGTTTTTCAAGCTTTTTTAATGGAGGCTGCGATTGAGGAGTGAAGTAGAATTGATTTTGCATCCTATCTTTCTTCTTTTTCAAGCCAAAAGCTCTTGTGCCAATACTGAATTCCAGTGCGTTTCTGATAAAAAGTGCATTAACCGTAGCTTTCGCTGTAACAGAAAAGCAGATTGCGCCGATCACTCTGATGAAAGGAACTGTGGTAGGTACTTCATCGCTTTTTTCTGGAAAATGCAATCCCCTCCTTTTCTATCAAGTCTCTCTTGTCAGGATCTAGACAAATGTTGAGTAGGAACAGGAAAAACTCAGGTGTGAGGTGAACTCATGGAAGTCACGATTTGTCGCTGTGGTTCAAGGAAATTCGCGACTTTATAACATTATTTATCAGTATTTATCACAGAAATTTTTTCATGCATTACTGACTTGGTCTGAAGTTAATCCTCCATGGCATTAATTAATTTTAGTTATTGGATTCTAAAGAACACAAATCGATGTTGTAACATTTTTAAAACCACAGATACCAAAATTTTTTTTTCAAAATTTCAAATTTATGGTAATAATTTTTTCAGCAAAGAAAACACTGATGAATACTTGCAAAATCATACTACAGGGGTAAGATTTCTCTGTTTAAAAAAACAAAAAATGTATTGTTACGAATTAGTAACACCACTCCATAGAGGATTAAGTATACTGAGAGTCCAATTTTTATAATTTTTCTTAAGTTAGACTCTCAAACATATTGTCTGGGGAAGGTATCTTTACTCAAACTTCCGGATATGGATCTTGATCCTGGAAAGAAAATATAGTCACCGATAACTTGTTTTGCCAAAAAGAGTTCATTGCGTTATAGCGGGGCTTGATAGGTACCTTTTACCACTCACTAGAAGTTAATTTCTGTCATCGACAAGCGCGAGAAATCACCAATTGATTTTAGGTTTTTTTGTAAATTTTTGTACAGAAAATTGTGTAAAGTTTTGAATTTTTTGAGGTATGCCAGTGCTCTGAAAATTTGGTGTTGGTTATGTTTTGGGACCTCTTTGATTCAGCAAAACTCAGATCCATATCCCTAAGAATCCCCCGGTTCTGGATTGATTTGGGCTAATTTCTCAGTCACAACCAGAAATGTTCTTATGTGTATTACCTTAGTCTCCGAAGTATCGTGTTTTATTGTCCAATTTTGCATACATACCAATGTTTCTACATCGAAGCAGCAAAGAAACCTCTCCTTATGAGTTTGTACATTTATTTCCTTCTGGAGGTTAAATTGTATGAAAAAAACTTTCAGACTTTTTTTTTATGTTCATCTGTTTACTGTATCCATTAGTCCACCAGGTATCACTTTTTGTATGTTTGCCGCACCCAAGTTTGCAATAGTATTTAATCTTGTGCTGTTTACTTTCTAGAATATGTCCCACCGAGGTATGATCCAGTGCCCTGCTTGTCAAATGAATTCCGTTGTGGCAATGGCTTATGTATATCATGGAATCACCGTTGTGATAATGTGTCAGACTGTTCTGATGGGAGTGATGAAAGAGGTTGTTCACGATGTAAGTATGCATCAATTCTACAACTCTCTTTATTATCGTTATTATTTTTCCATTTTCCATTCTTCTCTAATTATTTTCAGAGTGTCCATTAAGGTAGGTAAATAAGGATGAATTGAATCTTCATTTGCGAAAACATATTTAAGGGCCTAAGTATCATGCCCCACACCCTATGAATACTACCAGTAAATTTTTCAGTTATTCATTAAATGCCTAATACACTACATACCTGAAGATAATTGATCGGTACTTTAATATTTGTAGTTGTAAAAATTTCCCAGAAATTATTGAAAATTTTACAAGCTTATTTTCCTTTTCAGATCAAAATTCCATACCTTCATCTCTTGGGTTGGATTTGAAGACCTATCCTAATGAACAAGTCATAAAAGAAAGTAAGTTTGCTCCAATCCTCCTATTTTATTCCCATTGCTCACATTCTCCCGTTTAATCTCTCAAGTTTGCATCATGAAAATGTAGTTAAAATTCTCAAGCACTCAAGTATTCTTTCACTGAGAGCAGTTGCATTGAATGCTGATTGCCTAGATTTACTTATGAGCACTCTAACCATGATCTTAATTAATTTTACCAGCTTGCAGTTAATACATTAAATTATAATTTAAGAATTCGTGCTTGAAAAATGATAGTTTAAATCTTAAATTATAATTTAAGATTGGATACATTCAAACAAAAACAATTCATCTATTTGGAATTATTAAAAGAAGTCTAACCAACCATGAACATTATAATCCCAGATGTGTTAAGTTTTTTTTTTTTTGTTCTTTTTTTTTCTTTTTGAAAAATGAAGGAGACCATACAATTTGCTTTTTAGAAATTATGAAGTAGACGCATCTATACATGCTTATTTAAAGAGAAAAAAACTAGTTGTGCTCTAAAAGGAAAACACTTTAAGCCCTTCAAAAATTGTATCTCTTTTGATTCAAAACACACAAAGAAGCCATCCATCTCTCCGAAAAATGATCAAAGTTGCTCCATCATCAACCGATATTCAAACTTGCTAGCATTTCCTGGGTTATCATGTGTAGTTAGTCAAAGGATAGGAATCAAATATGCACTTATTCTAAAATAAAAGTTTTTAATTGAAGAGGACTTAAATCCCAGCTCAGTATTCATGGTTAGAACAAATAGATAGATTGCTGTTGCTTGAATCTATCCAATGTCTCTTGTCACAATTCTCTAATGTACTTTTTCTTTCTGTTTTATATTGCGAAATCGCAACCTTTCTAACATGGATTTAGGTTCAGGTAAATCTCTTTCTTTTTTCTTTTAGTATCTAGTGAGCAATGCTCAAAGTAAAGTAGGAATGTAATGTAGATTTGAAGTTATAAAAAATGTTTTCTGAGATTCCTTTGAGAGCTGTTTGAACGAAGTTTTGGAAAGGTAAGGAAAGCTGAACTATGTGTACCAAGTCCCATCAAATATCTCATGAAATTTGTACATACCAATATTATCAGTAAAAAAAGTGAGAACACCCAAAACGTCATATAAATGTCATAATGTAAATATCTGTGTTGGTGGAAATGGTTCTGGGGATGGTTTTTATCTTGGAAAATTGTCTTTGTCCGTCAATTTTACTTTTTCCTACAATCCATCAAAAATCTGCCCATCAAGCCTACACCAAAAGTATATTCCCCATTAATAACTGTCATAAAAATAATTGCCAGCTCAAAACTTTGAAACCAATTTGTTTCATACGTCTATTTTTACAAATGAAATGAACTATAACATTGTGATGTTTAGTGCTCACTGGCATGAAACGCATTGCGATGATGTTGAACTTGCGGCACTGTCTCATGTTAATTTCACATGAAAGCTTGAAACTTTACTCCTGAAGATTCGTACTTGTGAAGAGGTTCTCCGAATTTTGAAACATTTTTCGAATCTTCCTTTTGCCTCTTAGATAATGTTCTGCTCTTGCATTCCTATTCCCCCATGTGCACACTTTTTTGCTGGATACCTATGTCATTGACTCGTAAATAATCTCTCATTTACCTATCTGCCACTCCAACGTTGCTTGATCGCATTGATTGCTCACACCTTTTAGCAATTACTACAAATGAATATTTATCCTGTAAAGAAAATATTTTTAATGAGAGACAGGGACGCAGAGAATGCTCGATCGCGTTGCCAAGCATGCGTGAGAAAACGTGAGAAATCCCTCAAAAATGTAGAAGAAGTGAGCATGTTGAAGGGTCAAATCAAAGTTGAAGTCAAAAATCAAAGGAAAACAGAAGAAAAAGGTCATCTTTTTTAGATTGGTGGGAAATTTTGTGGAAAAATGAAGAGGAAAATGTGGATAGCCGGCTGGCGGGCGCGTGAAAATGTGGAAGCTTGGAGGATTCTGCCCCTCTAATGAGAGGTTTAGATGTCGGAGCTACTTTTTAGTATAATATCACATTTGTTCAAATCATGAAAATTATGAAGCTCTTAAATCGTATTTAAATCAAAATTCAGTCAAACTTAAGTTTCTTAGAAGAAAATGATAAATAAATGAATTTGATGTCCGACCCTAAGAGTAATCTTTTGCCAGCAATAAAATTGTTCAAATTTTTTGGTGGAAAATTTTGCATGGAATAAAATTAGCACTCTACTAAAAGCACCGCCCAAAATGCCTCTTAAAAAAATTTGAAAATAAGTTATTTTTTCTTTAAAAATTTCCAAGATTAAATATTGAGTAATTAACGTGAACTCTATTTTTCAACAGTCAAGCAAGACATTGATTTATTGAAATCTTTTGTTGTTTCCTTTTTTCCTCTTTTTTTTCAATCGCAATGACATATGTTCAATATCTGTCATGCTTGTATGTACAGTACATTACAAAATCCCAGTACCAATTTGGTGTTGGATATTCAAGAGACTATAGAGAATACTTGTTTATAATTCTACTTACTTCTTTGGTGTAGACTTATGAGGCAGAATATTTCTGACTTGATTTTTTTACCTTTTTGTATTGGCTTTCCTCATCCTCAGAAAAGACTTTTTATAATTTTTAGTGCATGTTTCTTTTTTTTCTGTTAAATCTCAAATCTGAGCCGTAATTCTTTATAAGGATTGACCGTGACATAAGATTTTATGATTTATAGTGCATGCTTCTTTTTTTTCATAATATCTCAAATCCAAGAGGTCAATTTTGTTGAGGACTTTTTCTTTAAAAAAATTGGTTCTCCTCATATCCAAGTATGAACTTTTTTAACTTCTAGTGCATGCTTTTTTTTTTTCTTGAAATTCAAATCGTAAAATTCAATGAGAAATTTATTCTTTTCCATTGAAGATTTCATACTTTCAGTTTCCTTTAATAGCCTTGTGCAAAAAATTAAGGGAATCGGCAGACAGTGGAACGAGTCAGTACAAAAGATTGAACATGAAATGGAAACTTCAGAAGCTCCTATCTTTTTTCGTACAAAACCGAGGAGTTTAAAGGTGGCTTAATCGGTTTTCTTGTAAGATGTCCTGCTAGAAACATCCCCTAAAATGTATAATGCCACCAAGTGTACATCACAATTTGCAATGTTAGTCAAAAATTTCATGTCGGACCTTTTGCAGTGACTCACTTCATTCTGCGGCTACAGCTAAATTTCCTAATTGTTAGATATGATATTCTTTGCGACCTCCTGGGCACAACAAACTTTGGAAATTTAACTTGTTAGTGCCTTTTTCGTGAAAAGCAGACATGAAAAGAAACTTTTTCAGCATTTTTGCATGCCCTGCAGTATTTTTACTTGGTAGAAATGTTTCAATGTCAGAGTAGCATCCGAGGAGAGCTATTCTTTGCTAGGAAGGCAAGACACACGAAATAAATTATTTCCTCCGAACGATAGCAGCATCCATACTTTGTCACACACAGTGCAAGCCCACATCTTTTTAAGGAATATCATGTGAGACGGGCAAAAAATCACTTTTCAGCCTCCTGTTCTTAACAGTGGCAAAAAGATAGTTCGATTTTCAGAACCTATTGTGTTCAAAGAGTCGTATTAGGCTTCATATCAAATAATAACCAAATTTAGCTGGCTCCAAATTCTTTGGTTTTGCGTGTAGTGTTCTTTTATTCATGATTTTCAAACAAACAGATCTCCAATCCTAAGTGCATGTAACTCTAATGCATGCTGAACAAATTTTATTCCTCAAAACACCTATTTTGTAAGTCTATCAAAAATATAAGTGTCTATGAGCAAAAAACTGTTTTCAAAATTATTAGAGAGTGAAGTTTAGGTCACAGTTTGCACCCTGAGTCCTTCACCAATTTCATAAACGTATACCTACTCATATATTTTTATAAACTGCTCCTAAAAATTTTTGCTACTAGAGATTTGAAAATGAATTGTATGTGAATAATTTTTTCCAGGAATGGACTTCAATTCGTCAACTACAAAATTTTTAAGTAATACGAGATTCATGCCAAGTTATGTTCCAAAATTTAAGTATTGTGGGAGATGCATTCCCGTTAGCCGGAAGCCCCCAGAGAAAGCTTGTAAATTTTCAGCTTTGGTTTTTTTCTCTTCCTCTTGTTGTAAATTTTGGTTCATGTCGTCTCCATCAGAAATATTCTAATTTTGCCGACCTCTCTTCCCTCTCCTCTCTGAACTCAATTTCTCTCTGACAAAGCAATCATAATGTATCTGTAAATGTAATGTAATGTATTTGTGAACATGTGACACATCTCATCTTAAAGAATGCTTCAATTTGAACCTGGTGAAAACTATTACAACTGTAATATCCCTCGCCTCCAAAATGTTTAAATAACACCTTTTAAGATTTTTAATTTTGGGAATCTCGAATCAATGTAGTTTTCTTTCCTTGAAGTTCTCTGTAGTGTTTTCTTTTACTTGTCATGGGGTGATCTTGCTCTTATTTTGCTTGTCCATTTCATCAAGGCCTCTTTTAGTGTTGTAATCACTTTATGATTTTGTTGCAAGAAATAACATCTTTAATATCTCTAATTTTTAGCTCGAGAAGTTGTGTTTCAATGCCGCGATGAAGGGCCTTTACGAGCTAAAGTTCGATGGGTTAGAGGAAATGGATTGCCTCTGCCACCTGGATCAAGAGATAAGAACGGTCGTCTCGAAATTCCAGATATCAAGGTATTTTTGTATTTCTCAGAATTTCAACTTTGCAGTCAGCCATAAATTTAAATTTTTTAATTTGATTTGCTGGAATGCTTATTAGACTACTAGGGGGCTACGCCCCCTGGCCGCTACGCGGTCCAACCCCCTGAAGGCGCTCCGCGCCATCAATGGGCCGCTTTGCGGCCCTATTTTTACCTTCCTATCAGTGTTAGTTTTATTTTTCCCCTAAAAAAATTACGATATGAGGTATACTTTAATTTTAAACTTTACTTAAAATTACCTTCAAATTAAAAGGACGCGTTTTGGAATGACTGCTTGATGAAATATTGCAGTAAAACAATGATCAACGATAGTCAGGTAATAATCAAGATCTCATGAGTCGGGGATCGAACCCACACCGAATTCACAGTGGACGCATTCGTCGTCTTAGACGACTCAACCACCTCTCGACGTGAGGACGCAGGTGCGAATCTTGTGTAGATAAGTGTAGAGCTGATGCGCAGGCTACACAGCTACTGCGCAACCTCCCTGACCACTGCGCATCCTCCCGCGCATAGCGGTAGCAGTACCGGAGCATTCTGTAAACTCACTCACTTTTATAACGTGATTTTAAAAAAACCTGGGTCCTTTTTCCAAAATCTGATTACAGTGGGCTCATCTAGGGCCTATTACCTGTCGATTTACGCAAAAATCATGGAAATCGGCCCGGTAGAACGCTCAAACGAACTATGACAAAAAGTATAAATTTACATTGTTTAAATGGGAGAATTCGCAACTTTACCACGTAATATTAAAAAACCTGGGCCATATTTTGAAAATCTGAAAAGAGTTGGCTTATCTAGAGACAATTGTCCGTCGATAGCCGCAAAAATCATGAAAATCGGCCCGGTAGAACGCTGGAACTAAGCGTTACCAGTTTGGCAAAATTAGGAGGTCTTGGAGCTTATAGTATAGATTGATATAGGGACCATCAGGAGTTTAAAGAAGATGACTTTTTCTTCTAATTAGGGGAAACAGCTCTGCTAATTTTGGGCTGAAAGGTGCCAAAATAGTGTCTGAAGTAAAAATTGGTAAATTAGCAAGGTTCTTATGTATTTTCGAGAGCTGATTTCGGAAAAATGGCCAAAGACTTCATTACGTCAGGATTATTCTATCTGTAATGAAAACCCAAGCTCATTTATGGATGAAAAAGCAAAGACTAAACAGAAATGCTCCTCACAGTATGTCAAAGAATTTTCCCTGTTCTTTCTGACAGCAAAGTTTTTGTGGTCTAATTAGAGTTTACGCCAAATGAGTTTACGCACTTTTAGACTGCGCCAGAAAATCTACCATCTTGATTCTCGCATCTGGACTCTACCAGTTTCTATGGGAATTATTTGTGAATTTTCTTCACTTCCTTTGAAATAAATTGCATCGAAATGCATGGAAACATTCTGAATCGGTTTCCTTGAGGAAAGTAAAATATGTTCCGAGATTTTTGAACATTACAATGGTGTTACGCATTTTTTGCATTCAGCCATCGACATGTATTCTTATTAAAGTTGATATTAACGGCAAGAACTCACCTTACTTACAAATAAAAATATTTTAACATTATGTACAGGCATTACAGCTGCTTATGTATAAGTTTATTTTTTCCCCCAGATTCAACACTCTGGAACGTATATTTGCGAAGCAGTTGACTACCTTTATGATTCCAATGCAAGGGCGATTGTGTACTTGAATGTTGAGGAATGTAAGTCTTATTCATTCATCATTACCTACTCCATTCTTTATTGGCTGTATTAACTATTGCAGTAGGAGAAATTTTCAAGATCCACTTTTCGAGGTTCATTATGTGTCATACGATTTTTAAGGAAACTAAATCTTAAAAAAAAAGTCCGTATTGGTATCAAGTATAAAATTCATTAATTCTTCATCTCTGTTAATCAAGTCTTCATGTTCTCTGCTTATCAATTATTCATCTCTGTCTATTAAGAGTGTGTGTCTCTTAATGAGTCTTTTTGTTTTGTTTTTCTTTTAATTTCATTATGTTATAAATTTGCATTACAGTTGTTCAGCCTACATTCAGGGCGCCTGCACCAGCCTGTGGATACAATGAAGCCACCTGTTCCAATGGCGAGTGTATTCCCAAGTCCAAGGTTTGCGACGATCACTATGACTGCACAGATGGCTCTGATGAAATGCGTTGCAGTAAGTTTGCTTTCTATCATTTATTGTATTTTATCTAGTGACTTATTGTATTCCAAAGCACACTTATTTTCAGAACACCAATAAAAACCATAATGAGAAGCAATTGAGTAAAATTACAACCTAACTATATTTTATCGCACCTTGGTATCATGCAAGTCAAAGGGTTTACAAGTTTTTGTAATAATATGGAGTCGTTAAGAAAGGATTTAGTTATAAATCTTAGTTTTAGTAACTTTCAGTTTTTAACTCCTGACACTGCTCTATCTATGTGCTAAACTCCAAATCAAAATCACATTATGCAGCGCTTTTGCTGCAGACATCAATCCTACACTCAATTTTCATGCTAAAAACAGAGTAACAGAATATTAATGTTTGCACTAAGAACCAATGTACCTAAGAGTTCTTGCAGAAGTGAGGAAGAATCTACATTTTAGGTACTCTCGTCAGTACTTGCTCAGCTTTCTTTCATTTGTATCTGGTTGTATCGATGATCAGATGAGCAAAACAGTTATTATGCACTGTTTAATATGTATAGCTTAAAACTTACCTACATTATGCTCTATCTTTCTTTTATGTTTCCAGATCAGCACGGGTGTGAACCAAATGAGTTCTGGTGTGCCAATAAACGATGTGTTCAGAAAACATGGCGATGTGACTCTGAAGATGACTGCGGAGATGGTTCTGATGAGTTAAACTGCGCCCCAGCTTTACCTGGTAAGTAAATCTAATCAAAAATCAAAAGCCACTTAAATGGTATTGAATGACTCTATCATTTATACCAGCAATTCACTGTCGGTTTTAGTAATATTTTTTTCTTCCCTCGTATCTTTAATTTTGAAAACATAAAATCGACTACTCTCTTAAAAAGGTACCTCTAAAAATGTCTGAACACTGCATAGAGAAGAGCTCTATAGTTGACCGCTTGCTAACATCCCATAATTCTTTCCAAATAATTGTTCCATATAGAACCATACTTAAAAACAAAACTTATTTTCTCCAGCAAATTTTGTCTCTCAAAGAGAGTGTTCAGGTCTATACATATTTTATTCAAGAACCAAAATCAAGGTCTAATGAATGTTGTTAATTTCTTGATGATAGTTATACCATCTTCTCTTTTTTTAGGATCTCCGTGTAAGTCAAATGAATTCGAGTGCAGAAGCGGCAGACAATGTACTCCAAAATCATTTCAGTGTGATGGTCAGCCCGACTGCGCTGATGGCAGTGATGAAGTTGGTTGTGGTGAGTTCTATCAGTATTGATTATCCATCCATTTCTCTTGAAAGGAAGCAAAAAATTCAACAAGCTCTAAATTTTTACATGGCCACCCTATTTTCAAAATGATCTAACACTTAGTGATTTGAGGCAAAAATACTATCTGAATCCATTAGAGCTCAATTTTCAAGAAGAGACGCACCATCGCAGCACATACTGAAACTGAGGTATGCTAACATGCTGTGATACCATATCACCCGATGAAGAAAACCTCCATAATCTTCAAAAATAAAACCTTAGTTTCAATTTTTCCATCATTTTCTCCCACTTTCATTCTCTTAGTTTAGACATGATCATTAATGAATGTCAGAGTTCTAAGTCCTGGTAGTTTGGATAGTTTGAGTTTTAAGTTTGATACCCAACCCTCAGCTTCAGAAGTGAAGCATGAAAGGACCAATTACTGTCCAGAAAGAAGCTCAAACTTCTATTATTTTTGTATTTTTTTTTCCAGCACCGGTCACAATTCGCATTCCTCCACCTCCCATGGTCGTTTTGGAAGCAGGATCTCTATTCACTGTATCATGCACAGCTGATGGTGGTCCAACACCAGAAATTGTTTGGCGACTGAATTGGGGCCACATTCCTGCTAAATGTAATACAACCAGTGTCCGCGGTGTTGGGGTTTTAACTTGTCCTGATGTCCAGGTGTTTATTTCGTTCCACAGTCACTCCCTAAAATTTTGAACTCCCTATCTCTATTATTCTATGATAGAAGGGTATAGGTACAACATGGCTTCATCGCTGAAGTTATACCTTCGCACTTAAAAACTGCTGCGTCAATTTTTCTTCTCTCTCTCTCTTTTTTAGCAGTTAGAATGTAGAAAAACAGAATATTCCCATGATCAAGTCACAACACATTTGATTCTTACAAGGGGAGGTTATAATGTCCCTCCTAGATTCTGATTGGAGGTATGGTCAAAATTATTGGACTCAGAGTTCTCCGTTTCCTCTAATTGAACCTCAGAAGTTTTAAAAAGTTGTCAAAAATCTATCAATAAGTTCCACTTGCTAAATTGGCAAAATGACGCACTGAATGCTTCAGCGCTGCAAAAGTTCATTGGTCAAGTGCGCCACGCTCTGGCTGCTGGGTCCAAGGTTTGGACCGAGGCATCTAACCATAAATTTTAATCCTCTATGTGATTGTTTTGTAATTATTTTTTCTTACTTTCTTCAACTTGCACCTATAACTATCTTGTCCTGGATACTTATATACAACAAAAAATGAGTATCTATCATATTGATTGGTATTGATCAAATGTGTAGATAATCATAGTTCTTTCTACCTAATCATTCAATTTTGAGAAAGCTAGTCGTTCTGTAGCTACTCTGTGAATCTTGTTGTAATCATTGAGTTCTTGGCAAATTTTGTAAATAAGTTATTCTACATCCAAAATTACGTTACATCTGTTCATTCACCCCAGGAAAAGGACCAAGGTGCCTACAGTTGTGAAGGGATCAACTCCAGAGGATCTACTTTTGCCATTCCGGATACGATTCTCACAATTAAGGAGCCTGTTAATACCAGAGGATCCTGTTTACGAGGAACATTCAATGATCTGGCTCTCACACGAAGTGATTGTATTAATTGTTTCTGCTTTGGGGTCTCAACGCAATGCAAAAGTGCCAACTTGTTTACCTTTCAGGTAAATTCTCTTTCTTGGTTATCAATTCATCCACTCATCTGCTTCTACTTTCACTGAATCATTTGCGCCTATCATTTAAACTGAGATAGCAAAACAAACATCTTATTAGAAATAACCAAGTGCAGAATTTTTTTTGTTAATACCAAGTATCAAAATTCGTAAAGTAACAAAGAACTTGTTATAATAACCTGTGTTTTGTAATCTAGGGAAAGAAGGGTGTGTATTCAAATCTGAAAAGGCGATAAAACATTTTACACAATATTTTCAAAGAGTATATCCATGGCTAGGTATGAAAAATGCATATCTCAACTTTAATATGTAAAAATCTCCAATTATTTTTTATTTTATGTAAGGAAAACTAATCAAAATGTTACCTTGTAATTTTGTGTGACTCTTTATTTGAGTAAATGAAGAAAATTTCAATAGAAACTTGGTTAGTACTCCTTTTTAAAAAAAGAGAACTTGAGCAGAAACTCATAACATTGTAAGCTGAGATACGCTTTTTATGACTCAGGCAATCGATATGTGCATCAATCGTATTCATGATTATAATTTTCCTTTTGCTTATCATCTTAGCCATTGAAAGTTTCCAGTGATCTAGTGTTCGTAATTTGTTCCCTTAAATATTATTTCGTATATTTCAGCTACCTCCTCCTTTTGGAAAGCACCAAATCATCAGTGTAGTGATTGACTCAACTTTGCAAAACATAGAGATTAAGAAAAACGAACTTTCAAACTGGCCGGACGTTCAAAGCATTGGGCGTGATGGATTCCTGGTAATTTTCATCAATTCTTTTAATAAATATCTACAAGTAAAGAGAAAAATATGGCTCCTTTTCCTGTCACTCAGGGATTTCTTTAATTTTTTTTGCCTGAACATAACCATACATTAAAATAAAATTTAAAAATTTGAATCCTATTAACTTCAATTAATTAATTAATTAAATCCTATTACATTTGAAAACTTGGTCCAAAAATACAGTGAAAATAACTTTTACCTAATAATCGTAACAGATAAAACTGAGAAATAAAATGAAACAGAATTTGATTTTTACAGGCAGAGAACCTTATTTTTAAAACATTTCACTTCTTAGAAAAATTATTTGCTCCTCCAGTGCACTTCGAACGAATTCTTATTTTATCATATTTTCCAAGATACAGTTCTGTAGGATCAAAACGTAAAATGCCAAGTCTTTTAATATCATTGTGTAGTTTAGAACTATTCCCTAGGAAAAATTTTATTTGAAAATTTAACAGTTGTCCAGTACTCTGACTATTCTGTTTTTAGTAATTCCCCCATCATTTAATCAATTTCTAATCAGTCTTGTGTCAGTAATCATTTTTCTTTTCTCATTTATATTTTCATCTTGAAAATCATTCTGTTTTCTAGTTGAGATCTGACGATAATAATGCCATCAATGCAGATAATGCATATCCTTACTACGCTTTTCCAGACAGTTATCTTGGAAATCAGTTGAAATCTTATGGAGGTTATATCAAGTACACTGTTCGATTCCTAGGTGAAGGAACAAGCAGCACCGTTCCAGACGTCATAATCAGCGTAAGTCATTAATGCATAGCTGAAACAGGGCAAGGATCGATTAATTGAGACTCAGTTTCATATTTTAAGGAAACATTACAAATCCTGGAATGCAAATAAGCATCCCTTTCTACAATTTCTTCTACATTAGTTTAAATGGCCCATCCCTGACCAAAGTGCATGCACAATCAATAAGGAATATTCTTTGACGGTGTCACAACTTTACCATGGAACAGATTTTCCCTACAGTACCTCTCTCTGATACAGTTGATATAGGTTTTTCCTTGAATGAATCATTGTTAAAAGTACATACCTAGATATTTGCTGACAGGTGTGTCAAAAATTTCTGGAATTATTCATATCTCTAAGCTTTTAAATTGTTTTAAGTTCTTTATGTTCCGAATTTCTTTTTAAGGCATTTCTACAAATATTGAAATGTAAACTAGCCTTGCAGGTCATTCAATTTTAAGTCAATTTTTCAGGGAAGAGAGGATGGCAAAACAGTTCGGTTTTACTTTGGCTGTGTTGGGTTGAAAATATGATTTATGCCTCCTGTAAATGTTTCATTATATCGCCTCTTCTACGGATATGTCAGGCCTGCATCACTTTAAAATTTACAATTTGCTTGATAAATATTTTTCTGATTTAACCATTTTTACAGGGTAATGGAATTACCTTAGTTCATGTCGGACCAAATTTATTGCCAAATAGAGACAATGATGTAAGCGTAAGATTCTTCAGAGGGTCCTGGATCAAGAGCGGTTACAGAAATATTGCTGCTTCAAGAGAGGAAATAATGATGGTCCTTGTAAATTTAGAGAGTGTTTTGATTCGGTAAGTCTTTCATCTTTAATTTTTTTTTTTATCGATAATCATTGTGTTACAGATGTATTTCAACGGGATGTGGGAATTCAGGACTGCAATACGAAACGCTAGAGTAAATCGATAAGCGTGCTGCTTGTCGATTTTTTGAAAATCTAAGATGTAAAATTGCATGGGTTGGTCATTTTTTCGTTTTTGGGGGTGTAGACTTGTTGTATGGGTGTGTTTCAAGGGGGAAGGGAGAGTAAAACAATCAGATCGTTAGTGTTACGTATATTATGGAAGCCCTCAAAAAGTATTTGATTGAATATCTGAGAGCATAAATTCAAAGGATGAGCCTAAGATTTTTAATTTTTTCAACAAATCTTCAAGATACAAGTACATAATAAGCTTAGGTTTCCTTTTATGATGTTCCCTTAATTCTCTAGCTCTGTACAATCTCAATGTCCAACCTCATTTTTGCCATCAGCACAATCTTTTTTTCAAGCATTAATTTAATCTTAATTTTTAAAAACAGTTTTGAAACAGTTGCTTTCACATTTCTTATTTATTTTTACATATCCAAGAGTACAATATTTAACTGGGCCATCATATGAAACAACCATCACAAATATTAGAATGGACTCAGCAGGCAATCGTAACATTGGACTTGGCCAAGCTGCTTATGTGGAGGAATGTCGCTGTCCTGCAGGTTATACTGGACTGTCCTGTGAGGTTTGTAATCCTGCTTCATTATCAAAAACTCCTAATCAATCTAGCTGTGATTGGCTACAAGAATGATTGGCCTAGTGCCAAAAACCAAAAATTGAGATGTTGACACGATTGTTCAGAAAAGTATTTACTAAGCATTTCCAATTGCCAAAATCCGGAATTGCAGGAAGTTTATGGTAACCTAAACAAGTCAAGGAATTTATGAAAGGTAAAGTCAGTATTTTATTTGGGAAAGTCAAGGAATTTTGTAAGTAGCTGCTCTGCTCAGCTACTTCAGCTTGTACCGTTTAAGAGAGCGCAAATAACTTTTGAGTGCTTTTTTCCCTTAATTTGAATCTCTACAGGCAGAGATTTTGGCCATAGTTTTCCTATTTAAAGTCAGCCTAATCAAAGAGAAAGAAATATAAGTGAAGGTCTTGATAGAAGGTCAGAGATCAAGAAAAGTCAGGTAATTCAGAAGTTTTACAGTCAGGAAAAAGCGGAAAAAGTAAGAGGAAGTCTGTGTATTGTAAAATGAAGAAAGTCTGGAAACCCTGAACTTTGCGCACACTCTTGACCCGAAAGTGTGACAAAAACTTTGATAATCAATGCTTTGTGTGTTTAAACTTTTTCGCATGAACTTAGCCTTTTCCTCCTCTATTCTATTTTAAAATTGTTCACATCTCTCATTCTAGACTTGCCTACCTGGTTACAATCGTCGAGCAAGTGGTCCATGGCTGGGTCAGTGCTACAAAGAAGAGCAGGTTTGCCGGCCAGGAACTTATGGAGATCCCAGTCGAGGCATCCCATGTCAAGCATGTCCTTGTCCATTGGCAAATTCTCTCAACCAGTAATATATTTTTTGGAATTTTTTTTTGTATTTTCAATGTAATAATATGATACACTTCCCCACGATCAAATGTACACTGTACTTGTAATGTCTTTCATTATCTGAGATTTCCAACTGGCTTTGTAGCCCTATGGTCCCCCTAAAAATCTCTTGAAATCCCTTCTTTAGATCTAGGAATCTTTACTCCTCCTATAAGGCAAAATCTAATGACACTGGTGTTGCATGTCACATTTTTCAAGAAATTGAAAAGTTGAAAAGGCCTCCAAAAAATATAATAAGATAACGTGTATATCAGAAATCTGAGTACTGAATAAATAAATTCTTTCTTAATCTTGACAGATAGGAAAATTTGTATTATTTTGGTCATAATTTCTTCTAATTAGGCTTTCTTATGATTGATAGATTTGGCAGAACTTGCCATCTAGATACAGATGGTCAAGTAACTTGCGACTGTCCACCTGAATACACAGGTCGTCGTTGTGAAAAATGTGCCGCTGGATACTCTGGCAACCCATTAATTCCTGGAGACTTTTGTCGGCAAGGTAAGATAATCTTTGCCTCAATTTTGAAAGCAAGTTTTAAGAAAACGTTCCCAGGAATATTTTTAGAACTTAAAAAAAATTGATGATTTAAAAAAGTTTCTCATTTACCTCTGGTCATTTTACTAGTAAATATTGCACATCCACAGTATTCACCTGCATGATTTTGCGCACATAATTTTCCAAATGATAGGAATGAGAAGAACTCTTCCTATATGTTTATGAGAATGACTAGCGTTTTTTTTTTTTATTTATTTATTTATTTATTTATTTTTCATTTCACATGAGGCACCTTAAATTTTCTTTTTCCTTACTGTAGAACTCTTAATGGAGTCATGTAAAAACCGTGCCACAGTTGTTTGTAGAGAATACTTTTTTATGTGTTTCACTTAAAACATCTAAAATTCTCCCTTTTTTAGGATATTGTGATGCAGCTGGTTCCCTATCTCCTTTGCCAAACCCATCAACTGGCCAGTGTATTTGCAAGGTAAATTTCTCAGCACATAATAATACGTATCAAAATTTAATGTATTGAAATTTTTAAGAAGTGGAAAGCAGAACTAAGGTTAAAATTTTGTGTGGAAGGATGAGGCTCTTTCACCTACCACTTTTTGATCCATGGCCCCTAATTGCCATTGTCACCTATTTTGCCGATAAGAATGGACAATAATTTAAAGTTTATAAACCCAAATACATTTATTTTGATGCATTTCCATTTCCAGTTTCAAAAAATGAAAGTTTTAAATAATTAAAAAGTCCTCTGATCCCATTATCATTATAGAAACTGCTCTCTCAAATGATCATTCTAATATCGCTGGGGTCAATAAATCACAATTTATTTTTAGTGATTCACGCTACTTAACTCTCTGTGGTGTTTGTTCCCTGTTCTTTTAGATGTTTCTAATTTTTATTAATGTACTAAGTAAATTGAAAGTATTTATCCTCTATGAGCTCATGCCAAAATTCCATATACTTTTTCTTTTTACCGCAGCGTAGTTTATCAGGAAGATGTCTTTGTCTGGTAAGTTCTTTCTAGAGTAGGATTGACATCCTATCTTGTATCCACAATCATAATTTTCTGTAGTATGTACTCAAATCGTATTAAGTTTGATTGTACCCATATGAGGGTGCCAAAGAAGCAAAGAGAAAAATGAGCAACCTAAAGGTTTCAGAAATTTCTTCCAATTAGAAAACTAGGAATGATCAAAAAATTAATTAAAAAATCTGAACAGTGTAGGCTCTGTTCAGGCTCACGCCTCTTGTTACAATTCTCTTTTTTTCAACAAAAAGAAGAAAATGTGTAAGTGAACGTACCATCATGAAATGCTGATGGAACCGTAATAAAATTTTCATAAATTGAAGAAACCCCTGGAGGACTCTTCAAATTATCTCTAGTAGCCCATGCAGTTTTTTTTTTTATTTTTCGGCAAGTAAACTTCTTGACTAATACGATTCATTCTCAGCTGTAATCTCACCTGAGCTGCAATTGTCATCGAAGTATGATTTAGTTGACTATTCACAAATGAAGTATCTTTTACATTTCAGAATCTTGTCACTGGAAGCACCTGTAATGTCTGTCACAACAATACATTCCACTTATCACCACGTAATCAGAATGGGTGTATCAGTTGTTTCTGCATGGGCCTTACGAACACCTGCACCAGTTCATATTGGTACCGTAATCAGGTAAGCCTCTGCTTGATCTGCAAAGATTTTATGGTATATTTTTTTTTTTTTTTTTTTTTTTTTTTTTTTTTTTTTTTTTTTGTAATATTCTTGAATTGTTAAATTTAAATATTTAGAATGTCCCCTTGAATCTTGACCCTTTTCTTTGAGATTTTTATGTCATAAAATTTAAATTGATTTTTCTTTTATCTTTACTTTTCAGATTTCTTCTGCTTTTGTCACCTCCAATACGCAAGACTTTAAACTAGTAGAATATCGTGATATCAGATCTCCAATTAAAACAGGCTTTCAAGTAAATCCCAACTCAAGGGAGCTTGTATACAACAACTTCTATCCGGGCAATCAAGAGGTAAGTCTTATTTTTCTACAAAGCAAAGGCCCGATAAACTTAAAATTTCTTTATTTCAGGGTTGATTGAAGATTTTTTTCCTTTCAGTACATACTGTTGGAAATGAAAGGTTTTAATCTTCAAGTATGAAAACTGTTCAGTCTTTAAGCCTGACATTATTCAAATGCCCTCCAGGGACCAAATCAAACTTACCAATTCTATTCAAATTAATGATTTCTTTTTCAGAAACAATGATAGAAAGGTCTCTAATTCTATGTCATTAAAAATTATTACAAATTATTTTACGTTCTGAAACTTTTTAGCCACAGACAACAGCATAGTACAAGATAGAAATTCAGCATTTCTCTTCTTAACAATCATGATGATACTGCTGATGTTACTCATGATGTTCACAAGCTGAACCATGCTATTTTTAAGTGCCTTAACTTACAAGGCTGCACTTTTGTGAAATTTGCTGTTTATTAGCCTACTAGTCCCAAAAAGTGTCATATTTTATATCCTTTATGTAAAATTTGTGAATATGTTGCCGTGGGCCATAGTTCATTTAGCCTCTTTCCTCCTTCCGGCCCTTCAATCAGTTCTAATAAGTGTAGCAGAAGTTATATTATCCTGTTCAAAAAAGTTTTATCACTATTATTTTGTCGGTATTAGTTGTTCTTATTAGGCAAGCTCATGCAGGATTTTACTGTACCAACTTTCAAATAATCAAAACATTTATTGTCCATAGTTTAACAAAAGCAATGTGTTTCTTTTTTTCAAGGTCTTCTACTGGGTGCTGCCACCAAGATTCCTAGGTGATAAGATAACATCTTACGGTGGTTATTTGAATTACACCTTGCGGTATGTGCCAGCGCAAGGAGGTCAAAGTTCTCGCAATAGTGCTCATGATGTTGAAATTATTTCCGTAAGTAATTATGCATGATCAAGTGAAATACCTCGGTAGTTTCAACTGTGGTTTTTGTTGTGATTTTCATTTTTAAGTAACTGTGTTTTCAACAATAATGCAAGAGGATCATTTTAAATGGTCACATCAAGATTAATTCTCTTAATATGCATTACTCGCTCTCTAATGACAAAGGCTAAGATCAGAGGTGCCTCAGAATGACTTGTTTGACTCCCTTTTCCTCGCTGATATCATTATTTGCTGCAAAACTATCAGATGCAAAATTGAGAGACCACGCCATAGTTGTCACACGAGTGTCAAAATCATTAATTATTGAGATGTAGTCTACGACACTTCTCCCTCATCACTTGGCTGTGATTGGATCTCCCTGCAAGATTCAGGAACTGAGAGCCAATTTCAGATCAAGAGTTTAGGTGGTCTTGTAATTTCAAAGAAATTGTTTTTTACAAATTCGGAGACTTTGACATAAGCCAATGCATTAAATGTAGGCTGTTTTATTAGGGAGTTTAAATCCTTTTTCCCCTGTTTACCTTTTTTTTTCGCCTATAACTTCAATCCTGTATTTTACAATCTTTAAGCAGCTCCTATTTTCTATTTCCAGGCAAATAATATTCGCTTGCAGCACTTCCAAAGTGACCGTCAAATTCAACCAAATCGAGTCGAAACTATCTCTGTGCCCATTCTAGAGCAGTATTGGCAACGTGAAGATGGTAAGACTGCAAACAGGGAGCACCTGTTAATGGCATTGGCAGATTTAAGCAACATTTTGATTAAGGCAACTTACACAACGAAGACAGAAGAAGTAGCGTAAGTATCTGTTTTCACTCAACATGATATTAACCTCTTTTGAGACTGACTTTATTGGAACAACTAGTGCTTCAACTCAAGGCATTATTGACCAAAATTTATTATGACTCACACAGCCTGTAGAACAGATAAACGAAGCAGCACGAACAGCTCAATTTTGCCATCCGCTGGAACTCTGATTGTTACAATTGAAAGTCCCCTCAGTGTTATTACTTTGTATCAAAAGTGTTGCAAAACCTTTCAAGTCAATCACTTAATCAAATTCTAAACTAGTGTTCCAACCTAGCATACCTATCACACCTTACTAATTTGGATCAAAATTTGTCCACAGTTTGACATCGGTCACTTTAGATGTTGCTGAAAACCGTAACACTGGTCAATCTAGGGCTTTAGAAGTGGAACAGTGCCAGTGCCCGCCAGGTCACACAGGTTTATCGTGCGAAGACTGCGATGCTGGCTACACTCGGCAGGAACAAGGCTTGTATCTGGGTATCTGTGAACCCTGCGCTTGCAACGGGCACTCTGATCAGTGTGATCCTGAAACTGGAGTTTGTTTCGTAAGTAACTTTATACCCTCTTTCTTTCAATTTTCTCATCAACTTTGCTCAGCATCATCAAATAGTATGATAAAATCTGTATTTTTCATGCCCTTTCTTCAGTCAAAAGTAGACGGTGGGATATTTTTTTAAGTTGCTGAATCAATCATATTTGCATGTTTAACAGAAACTTTGGTATCTTTTAATTCAAAGACCAAGAGTCAGATTTACTCCTGGTTTGCATCTTAGGTTTTTTTTTGTGCATAATAATTTTGTTTTCATAAAAATTTGATGCCGAATTTTTTGAGAGGGGATGCGAACATGGTGTTGGGTCCCTTTTAATTTATTTTTATTTCAGTAAACAAATTAGTTTCGTTTAACCCATTTCCATATTATTTTTTGGTTACTTGGTTGGAATATAATAATTACCAAGCAGTGTAACCGTTCCAATGGGATCCACTGACAAGTTAAGTAACTAGAATCAGCTTGTGACAAAAGTGTATAGACTAGGTAACGTATGCAGAAGTGACGTGATTATTTATGTCGCATTTCTGACTACCCAATAAATAGCTCAATGGGTATTTTCCCGGAGAACACTCATTGCTCAAGTTAACTGTCGTCTATGCAGATTTCCCTGGTAATGGTGCTAGCAAGTTCACTTGTCACTACATGCAAATAAGTCATTGGTTTTTTGTGCAATCAAAGTCTTAGTTCTAATCAAGTGATAGAACCCTATGCACTAATATTTTAGATCTATTTTTGTATATTCTACAGATTCTTGACAAAATCTGGAGGTTTAATTTTGTTATCAATATACCCATGATTTTGAAGTGCGGATTCAATGAGGTAATTATTTTTTTAGAATTGTCGTGATCATACAACCGGTGACTTCTGTAACATCTGTGAAGATGGTTATGAAGGACGTCCAGACAAAGGAGAGCCTTGCTTGCCAACGGGTAAACAAGATTCAAGCTGCAACTGCGACCCACGAGGCTCCATCAGCCCTGTTTGCGTAAATGGTCTTTGTACATGCAAGGTAATAAAATTTGACATCCTGTCATTATTATTTATTTTCTTCATATTACTTCCATTAAAATAGGGAGAAAAAATATTTCAAAGTCAAGTGTTCTGAGAAGAATGCATCTTTCTTACGTTCAAATTTTTCAACTTTAGCCAACCTTGTTAGACTCTGAGTCGATATGGCTTCAACCTGTTAATGATTTTAAGAGCGTGCAATATTGGAATGAATTGGATCGTAATTAAAGAAAAATTACACATAGTTTGGACAAAAAATCCTCAAAGTAACTGCTGAGTCCTGAAATTTGTAAAGAAAAATTTCAACTTGTTTTCATCCTATGCTTTGGGAAAATTAAATGTAGGCTCTGGTTAAATTTAAAATATATTTAACCTATGTAAGATTTTTTGACACAATTCCACTGACTTCTCAGTATCGCAATCGGAGAAATAGTTGAGTTACTTGTCCATTTTAAATCATACTTTTTCATATTTCTTTCTCTGGATTCTCATCATGAATTACTGATTTTAATTTGAGATTATTATGAGTTAAACAATTATTTAGGAGAGTACTGTGTTTAATCTTATTATCATATGGCTGAGACTTAATATTTAGAGGCCATTCATAAAATACGTAGCGCTCTAAGAGGGAAGGGGTTTAAGGAACGCATCCTTTCAGTTTTTTTGTATGTGTTAAATGATCGAGACCTACTCCACAAAAGTGTTACCAAGGGGGAAGAGGTTGTAAAATGAAATTTTTGAATCACCATTTAAACTTACTTTAAAGAAACTTTAAATTCATTTCTTTTTGCAGCGCAATGTTGAAGGAGAAAAATGCGACCGCTGTCTGCCAGGAACTTTTGATCTCTCAGCATCTCACATAGATGGTTGTCTATCTTGTTATTGTTCAGGCGTTTCTCACAATTGTCAATCATCCTCCCTATACCAAACGCAAATTCCCATGGAGTTAATCAGTGAGCAACATGGCTTTACCTTAACTGACACGTAAGTTCCTTAACTGACACGTAAGTTATTCAAAGAGGTTGAAAATTAAACGATCCTGTAATTTTTTTTATCAGTGTAAGGTCAAAAATCAATGGAAATATCAGAGTCAAGATTATGTTAATAATTACACAAGAGCCAATAAATCCATAAAAATTAATAACTTAAATTGCAAGACAATATTCTTTTGACAAGTTTTTAAATACCAATAATTCAAAACAAGGTGAAAAAATATGTATGATCAGACTTAAAAAAAATATTGTTATGGTCTAAGGGATGAGGATTTAGCGAACTCGCGTTGATATCTTGTATGCCCTGAGGTGGCGATCACCGGCAAGTACGCATTGGATGACCCGTAACGCAGCCTGACAATCACCCGCTAAACTGACCCTGCCTTGGCCGCTTTGTCGCCGTTATATTTTGGCGCCCAAAAGCTCTGGCCCTGATGCGGCACGCGCCAACCAAAACACCTGCCTGCGTTCACCTTGGAAATACGCGATCACTCAAGCATGTCCGAGGTGCTCCTAACCGAGGCGCACTCTCTAGCTAGAGTGCGTCTCGGCTACAATATAGAACAGAGTCTTAAGAGAAGTGTATCAAATCCCAACGTGTTTGAATTAAGAATTTGAAATTTCATCCCTCCATATGATTCTGTGTTAAGAACGAAGTTCATTGATTATTTTCATAATCAAAATACTTTTTTTGACCTTGAATTATGAACAGGAGAGTACTCAAAACTAGTTGAATTCATAAGATTTCTGTTTTCGCTCCTTTACAGGAACAGACATGATGTGATTAGAGATGGATTTGAATTAAACGTGGCGCTGAGTCAAATTGGATACGAATTCAAAGATGACAGTAGGCAACAGAAACGATTGTTCTGGTCTCTCCCACCTTCATTCACAGGCAACAGAGTAAGTATTCAGTTATTTTTGTACTTCAGGCTGAATACCCAGAGTAAATTGCCAAACCATCAAAAAAAAAAAAAAAAAAAATTGTTCAGCTGGCCGCTTGTGTGTGAGCCTAGCATGTTTTATTGAGTCCAAGTACTTAAATATAAATATGCAACTTACTGGCGAGACTTGTGTCAAATTGTTTTCCTCTTTCAAGTTTTCAAGTGCAAGTATGCATTCCATTATATTCACTGCATATCGCCACCTCGAAAAATTATTTTATCCCTGAGTACCTAATCCTAAGACTCTTGTATTTCAAAGAAATTTTACTTTTTATGTGCAATAACCTTCATTTATTGATCGTTTGTCCTTGTCAGAGAAGAGGAGAGAGAAGGAATGCTGAGGCTGTGCTAGTACTCAGATTTACTTGAGGGAAAATTATATTCTATCTGAGGTGAACGTTGTTGCAGAAAATTACCACTTTTGAATTTTAAGATCAAAGAAGACTCACTGGGAAAATTTCTCAACCATATTTTTGGAGCAGTGTTAGCTTCCAGCTCTTGTATTAAGAATGACATGTGGCTGAACGGAAAAGAGTCAAGAGAGCAGTTTTACGAAGAGAGCTTCAGGAAATTTTAAATTAACTTCTAGGTTTCAAGAAAATAGAGAAATCCTAAGGATACAATTTTCTCTTGTTTTTGGTAAATCTTGCCATTTCATTAGCTTGATTTGAAAATGTTTGTGTTTTTGGTGCTCTATCAGTTTTCATTTAACGCTATCCTCTGTTTATAATATTTTTCCTTATGTCGCTTGTAAATCTTTTTATAATTTCCAGTTAACATCCTATGGTGGAAACCTAACTTTCTCAAGGCTTTATCAAGCCAGATATGAGAATGAACCAACCTACGATCAGGACGTAATTATTTCTGGTAAAGGTTTAACCCTGTACTGGTCAAGTCAGAATAGTATTCCACCAGACACAGTTTCAGTAAGTATTACATTTGATTTTGTAGTATTACCTATGAAATTTTCAGAAAAGTAGCACATTAATCCATATTTATTCTTCTCGCCAGCTCAATTTTTTTTAATTGGATCAATTTGTTCTGAAAGTTTATAGGTAAGCCAATAAAGAGAAAGAGTTAAAGTTGAATAGTGTTCTAGCAAGAACCTTACCTCTAAACCAAGTAATTTTGCGGGAACAGTCGCAACTCAAAATTTCAAATAATCATATGGTATTGGAAAGAATTAGAGAAATTGGCAATTGCATCTTTCGCAGAGCATTTTTTTAAAATAAGAAAATTACTATCTTCTTTAGGAATGTTGGTAAGTTAAAGCCTCCATCTAAATTGTCCATTTTTTTCCTTTTAGACGGACATCATCCCTCTGGAGGAAACTCACTGGAAACGGTTAGATCAACAGAAAGTGGCTTCAAGAGCAGACATGTTGAAAGCACTGTCATCTGTTGATGCAATTCTAATCCGTGCTACACTTGGATCCCAAATCACTCACACTTACCTGAGTGATGTCATGTTGGATACTGCGGTGCGTCAAGAAACAGGCCAACGCAGAGCTTCTCAAATTGAAATTTGTCGTTGCCCTGCTGGATACACGGGTGATTCATGTGAGGTAAAGAATGTTCAAAAACTCTCCTAAAAAATCATCCTTTGATAGAGTAAACTGTATTTTAACTATTTACGAAAAAAAGAAACAAAAAAAGAATTATGAAGTAAGCTTCAAATCCAAATTTTGTCTCTCTCCATATCTCTTATTTATCATAAGTAAATTATCAATTTTAAGTGATGTATCTTTTCTTTAGTAATCACTGAAAATTCTTCTCATTGAATGATTGAAGGTAAACCGTATTTCTGATCTCATTTTAATCTAGTGCTGTTCTTGACATAAACATTAAATTATTTTTTTATTATTACGTCTGATACTGGGATCAATTTAAACTGATAAAGCCACTTGATGCATTTTATCAATTTGAGTTTTTTCATTACTTTTTAGTCTTGCAGTGGAGGATATTACCAGGATAGGTACGGAACATGCAGCAAATGTCCATGCAATGGAAGAGAAGAAAGCTGTGGCCTCGACTACAACCTACAAGTTGTGTGTAAATGTCAGTATGGATTCACAGGGCAATACTGTGATAGACGAGGTGTGTGTCAAAGTCAGTCAATAAGACGATTTTTTTTTAATACGAAGTGCAAAAGTAGAGAGATTGCATTGCTTTCTTAGTATCAATGATTCAGAGCAATGATAAATGTCATACCTTCACTTGTCCAGTTGGACCTGTTTGAACTGAAATTATCAAATACAATCATGCAAATGTAGAAGGGAGGATAAAAATTAGTTCTAAAATAATTCGTTTCAAAAACAATGTATTATTTTATTTCCTCCTTTTCTTCTTTTTTTCTTGTATAAGTAGGTCATGAGTAGATAAGTCTCTAATACTACCTGTAGATACCGCCTGTAAATTCTGGCGGGTACCTAGACATAAGTATGTTTTATCCCAAAAAATATTTGAATTATAAAATTGAAGGAACTGTATTTCCTGTTAATGTGCCAAAATTTCTGCTTCTCTTTTAATTTTTTCATAAAAAATCAATTCATATTTTTTTATCAAATTTTTCCAACTTTTTAGTCATAGCAAAATAAAATAAAAAAAATAATGCAACTTTACATGAAGTGATATCCGTTGGTTTCGTTTCACCGAAACAATAGATAACTGGAATTAGAATAGTAATGCAAACAGAAGCTCAGCGTGTTTGAGTCTTATCATCAATTTACAGCTAAGCTCAAAGAATCACCAAAAGTCGAAGACCATACAATTTTAAAATACGAATGACTACTTACTGTTCAGATGCCTATTAGACCAAGATGTTTCGCTTTTTCTTAACATTGCCTCATTTTTGTCCCCTTATTGTTTGAAGTAATCTCTTACCATTTGTATGCTGTTTTTTTCCCCTGGATGTAGATGCGTTCCCAGACTCCGAGAACCAAGTACCAGGAACACCTGAGCCTCAGCTGGAACCAACCATCAGTGTTTCTATTTCCGAGCCCAAAATTCAGATCGTTGCTGTTGGAAGTTCTGTTCAGTTCAGATGCTCAAGCCGGTCTCTCATCACGAATGTAAGTAATGATTATGTAGGTCAACTCTTGCTAAATCAATTTGCCGTGGGGCTGAGTTTGAGTTTAACTCAGGCGGAAATTTGCCTGTTGTCGTAGATGCCAAAGCGCAATAGAACCCTCATTAATCTTTTCGAAGATTACCCATCAACTACGCCCCACTCAATTGATTATTGCACTCAAGCAAGTGTCAGCTTATCTTACATCTCAGTAATGAAAACTTTTTCTGTCTGAAATTAATAATTTTCTGTAAAGCATACACATATCTAGATAAGTTTCTGTAAGAAGTCTGTTTATGTTTCAGCGCCCGCTACAAGTTGTGTGGACAAAAGAAAGCAGCCGTCTTCCTCACGATGCCATTGATACTGGAGATGGCCTTTTGATCTTACGACAAGTCCAAGAGGCTGATTCAGGCACTTACATCTGTACATCAACAGACGGAACTGCAATAATTGTTGATCGCGCTAGCCTCATTGTGGGCGGTAAGTTTTTGCCCTTTCGATTACACAGCATTATATCTCTCTTCAACTAGTCCAAGAAATCTCTGCTGCAAATAACTTTTTTTCTACATTTTCTATGAAAACATTATCATTAATACAAAACATTGAAGCATTGAATAACCTCAGCTATAATCTATTGGTTAAGAACTCGAAGAGACTTGAAATCAAAGTTGGAGTTGAAGGTTCTATTTGATTACATTTTGCAATTAGCAACTATTATTATTGATTCATTTTAGAAACAACATATACACCATTAGTTTTCCTAGGCAGATAAGTCCTTTTCTGGATGAGTTAGAAATCGTAGTTTGCAATTGCAAAATACAGTCCAATCAGAGGTAAAGTATTTCCACACTGCACTCAAAATCACGCAGTTTTGCTAAGAATTTTGGGAGCTTTCATGGGAATGATACCCTTTCAGTCGTCGGGTCAGTTCAGTAAAATCTATTAAGACTTACATATTGTCAGTAAAACCACAATTTAACTCTATTTGTTTCCAATACTCATGTTGTTCACGGTACCACCCTAAGTCTAATTTTAAATATGATCGCTATTTCTTAATTGCTTTAGCTTAGTGTTTTTGTGTAAAAATTTGTAATTCAATTCATCTCTCTGTTTTCTAATTGCTTACATTTGGTAGATTTTGATGAGGAACTACTCTTAATCACAGGTACTTTCATAAGAGTAATTCTTGTTTCTCCATTTTCCCTTTTTCAGAAATTGTTTCCTTTTAGTTCCAAAGGTGGTTATTTTCTTGAATTTTACCATTAATTAATGTCCTTATTGCACTTACTTAGTCAGTTAGATTAAGATTTAAAAATTATCGGTGATCAACATTTCGTTTGTAGTTACTGCTGAGCCTAAGTAGGAGGAGCCCAAGAGGGTTTGAGGAATGCTTTTTAATATTCAAAATTTCTCTCTTTGTAAACACAATAGTAAAATCTTATCGTGAGTGTAGTTTTTTTTTTTAATCGTGGATTTTTTTAACATAACTGATACAATATACAGTACGCTAGTTTGACCATGCCCAGAATCCAGGACAAATTACCTCAACGATCAAGAAGGTTGGAGCACGATCAACCTTTTTCACTCTTATAATTGCTTAGTTTTAAAAATAAACTCTTTGATTTTATTTGTGTTTTAGATTTTTTGCTTCTTTAGATTCTACAACCATAGGTAGTTAAAGAATGACTTTACGCCATAGTTTGCCCTTTGAACTTTCAGTCAATTTTTCCAAAAGTATGTAATTGTGACTTAACATTTAAAGTTTTTCATCAATCTTAAATTGTTACAAATTTCAGGATCACCAGTAGAGCCACCACAGGTAGCAATTTTCCCAAAAACTTTGAACGTTAAAGTTGGTGATGCTGTTGAGTTTAGATGTCAAGCAACAGGTAGTCCGACACCAACCTTGGAATGGACGGGCGCTAGAACTTTGAACCCGCAGGTACTTTTTCTTCTTAACTCCAAAATTCTTTTTAAGTTGATCATTGATTTGTCATAAATAAACATTTTGTAAATCTTTATACAGCCTCACGTCCAAAAAAAACTACTAACTTCCTAGAAGATTCATTGTTGCATCTTATTCTTTTAGCACTGCATTAAGCACTAGATTTTGAATTTTGATTTATCAGATTTCAATGAAGACAGTGTTCTTTGGCTGCTTCATCAAGAGTCTATCTCTTTAAGCTCTTTGTAAAAAAATGATTGAGCAGCAAAGGAAAGTTTTTGCAATAATTCAAAAAGTATCTGAATAAATAGTGGTTTCTTGTTCAGGTCATGGAATCTACAAGGCACTCATTCATTTCTCTTAGTGTGCTTGTTTGGAAGATGTAACGTAGCTCCTATAGTATGATTTATTTTCATAATCTTTTAGTACCAATATAAGACATGAAAAGACTATTCAGAGTCGTAGCATTACCTCGGCTCTAACTGCATTATCACCAACGTATGTCAACTACTATAAGTCTCATGAATTTTGCAGCATACCTTCAGCAATGGCATTTTCCGTATTCCATACGCAGTGGTGACTGATGAAGGAACTTATCAATGCCGTGCAACAAGCTCCGGAGGAAGTGTCACTACAAATGTTGTTCTTAGAGTAAGAGGTAATTATCTTTTATATCTCTTTTTTATTTCTAATCAAGAATAGAAAATTAGTGCCCTATAGGCATTCTTTAATCGAATTGTGTCAATCGCTACTTTTTCAAGTTGTTTCTAACTCTCTAACCAAAAGAAATCATTCATCAGCTGGAAGTATGGAGATTCATTCTCTTTCATCCCAAAAGCTCATAGTTCTAATTGAAACATGATGGATTGAAGGACGAGAAATGAAAGTTAGTGAAATAAGAACAAACATTGATTGAAGATGAAGCAAACTTTTGAGCCAAATGCGGGCATGACAAGAGCATCTGTTGTCCTCCTTTATGACAAGAATATCCAGAACGCTTGTAATTTCCCTTCAAGATAGTTAAAGATTTCCTATCGCAGGTTTACTAATTTTGATTCCGTGCACTTAAATCACTCTCCTGTTAGATTTTTTTTCCATCTTTATTTAGTATTTACAACTTTGAACTGGGACAAGGACCAGGTCAGGAGACCTTTGTTAACGTTCTCATTCCCTTTAATTAGGTTCTTGCCCCGACTTTATCAGAGAGCATAATTTTGGCACTAATTTAAGTTGAGTTTGGCCCCCCCTGAAAACTAAGTGATGAAATTCTTCCTAGATCAGATATTTGCCTTTTCCTTTCAACCTTCTAATAAGACTTTTTGAGGGTACATCTATTTTTATTTATACCCTACCATGATAATGGGCCTGTTGCAAACTTTTGCTAGAGCAAAAATAAGAGTTGTTTCTTATAGATAATGCCTCAAAAATCACGATGAGCGCATCGGCAAAGTCTGAAATGCACTCATAACTTCACAATCTGCGTAAGAAATTTCCGTTTTTTTAAGCTTCCCGCTTCAAAAACGATACTACAGCACAGGTGAACATTTTGTTAGAGGAGTCGCTCCATCGTCGGCGATATTCATCATGGCCGACGCTTGCGCGCAGTTCCGCGCGTGATTCAAGGAGAGTTCAAGGTCAATCAATTCGGGCGTGGAAAACATGAACGTTAAAACACGCCGATTGTTATCTGGTCTAATCCAGTTCAGGTATTATCTCGTCCCATCACACGTGTTTTGGCGGATTGGCGTCGGCCATGATGAGAATTGCCGACGATGGAACGACTCCTTTTACAAAATGTTCACCTGTGCCGTAGTATCGCTTTTGAAGCGGGAAGCTCAAAAAACCGCAAATTTCTTACGCAGACTGTGAAGTTATGAGTGCATTTCAGACTTTGCCGATGCGCTCATCGTGATTTTTGAGGCATTATCTATAAGAATCAACTCTTATTTTTGCTCTAGCAAAAGTTTGCAACAGGCCCATTGTCAATGTTCGCATTGAAGAGTGTCTTGAATTTCACTTTGTCCCTTGAATAGATCAATTTTAAACTCCAACTTTTTTTCTTTCATTTGTAGATGAAAGACCGCCAGTCCCAAGCTATGGCAATAGTATTGTTGTAACACCCTCCAGCTATTCTGGACCCACTGGACAAAGTGTGAACTTCACCTGTGAAGTTGCAGATAGATTTGAGTACAGGTATGTAAAGGATAATTATAATTGCATTTATTTTCTCTTTTATCGGCAAAAGATATGTTTAAGAACCTTTTAATTTAAAAGCCGTAAATAAGGTAAGATCTATCGTACTCTTACCCAACGCTGGAAGATAGAAAAATGAATTTGTAAGCACAAAGTGAAACATAATTGAAAATTGTTTCTCATGTACGTGTCTTATACCTATAAGCTTTGAGTACTTAAATAACTTTTCAAAGCTGAATAATGTATTTTTTCCTATCACCTAGTGCACAAACTGATTGCGGTGGATGCACGGGTTGTAAGACAGTATGTTGGAGTTTTTTTAGCCAAGGCTGAGCTGCACCAAGGATTTGCCCAACAAGGCCGAAATGCGTCTGCAGTTGCCTTCCTGAATGGTTGTAACTAGTGTTGCACCAAACAGCATATCTCTTTGAGGGAAAATTGTGCTCATATGAGCTTTCTCCCCTCTGTATTAAGATTTTCAGCTTTATGCTGAATTTTCTGTTGGCTAAAAAACTGCAACATACTACCACCTAGTGGTCAGAATGAGCACAAATCTCCTAGAGATGTTAAAATTCACTGAAAATTGTATGTAACTGGACCTAACTTACGTACATCCTTGTACCAGAAATGGTATTACATTGGGACTGCATTTTGCAATTTGGAACTATAGATTCTGGCTCATCTGAAAAAACACTGATAAGCATAGGGAAACCAATGACACATACGCTGTTTTTAAAGCGGGTCACAATTTATAGTTCCAAATTGCAAAATGCAGTCCATTGTATCCTCCGTTATTTCTGGCATGACCCTCCTATCAAAGGTCATGATCAAGGTCTTCTCATCAATTATACCCCTTGGCTTCTGGTGTAAAGATTTTTATCAGTTGGTTTACTTTTCCATTTAATATCATATTATTGACTACCAACAAGTAAATACTTTAATTTTTTTCCGAGTTTCTAGTTGATGAAGAAAATTAAGTAAGAGCAAATTAATTAGTTTAAGCCTGCCAGTGTAATTATGCCCTATTTTTAAGTTGTACCTAAAAAGAATTACCATGTCTTTGATCGTCAGCATAAACTTGGAGGAAGACTCGTCATAATACTGTTGCGTTTATGGTTTTCAGCTTACTTTGGACAAGACCAAATAATCAGCCCCTGCCGCCTCATGCTGTTCAAGGCAATGGTGTCCTTTCTTTCTCCAACATCTCTGTTGCCGATAATGGTGCCTACCGTTGTTCTGCTGCCTCCCTTACAACTGGCCAAGTTTTACAAACTGCCGATATAAATATCAATGCTTAGTAAGTTTTATATTTAGTTCTTGCCGCCCCGCCGAAGCATCAAAAATCCTCCATTTTAATTTTTTGCTCAAACTAGTAATTATTTTTTAAATGAGCTGTAAGTAGAAAAAATATGTGGTAGAGTAAATTTTCAAAATCTTGCAATGTTTTTGTTTTAGCTTCATTGTCTAGAGGAAAGTTTTGCCAAACTATTAAGACAAAAAATGGCTTAAAATGTTAAGTCAAACTAGAGTTATGGCGGTTGGAAGTTTAGTGCTCCAAATTCGTTATTTCAGGCTAAATCCATTTCAGACTGTAATCTGCCATGTTTAGAGCACAAAATTGCCAAATAGTCGCAAATTTATGGTTGTACATTAGTACAAAAATTAACTAAAATGCTCTTAACTGCCTACTTAGGACATTTGACAGAGATTTTATCAAAGTCGCAAAATCCAATTTTGTAACCTAAATGGACAAAAATGGCTCGACTGAAAATTTTGCCTCTATGGACAAAGGTCTTTTTTCCTGGACGCAGTCTTATTTGTTTCAAATATTTTCATTTTGTTTGTATTTATTAAAGTAATTAAATTTTGCTTTAATTAAATTCATATTTACAAGCAACTTTTTTCCCTCCTGCCAAATTCACAACATGTTTTTTAATACTTAATGTATAATTCCTTTTTTCCATACTATTCATAAAATCCTCGTATTTTCAGCTCATATTCTCCAGTCAGAATTGAGCCACGCAGCCAGACTGTTCCTCAAGGTATGCCAGCAGAATTACGTTGTATTGTGAATGAAAATGTTCCTATTAAGTGGTCAAAACGGGGTCCAAGTCCTGAACTTCCGAGCTACATGCAGGTGAGTCAATCTTGTAAACGTCTTAATATGTACATATTTATTCCAGATGTCTGGATCAGTACAACCGATAATGACTTTTACTTTTTTTATATTTATAAAGGTAAAGACGTGTAGAAATCATTTATTTAGATTTTTCACAGTCAGCTCTCTGTTATGAAGTGGTTGTTATGCTTACGCTACGATCAGAAAGCTGTGAATTCCATTCCACAGGAGGTTTCTAGAATTTGATTATCTCAATTAAGTTTGCTTGTCACCAAATGAAGTTTATTTATCTTTCCTCAGGCAAACGGTCCATACCTAAGAATTCCATCTGTTGTTCTGGATGATAGAGGTGTCTACATCTGTGAAGTAGAATTCCACTCTAGGCTGATACAAAAAGCTGCTGCCACCTTAGAAGTAGAACGTAAGTTTTCTTTTCTTTTTTTAACTTATTTGCTGCCTGTCACTATCCATCTAGAAGTGTCAGGTTTCAGAGTTTGATTCTGATTTTCCCAGGAAGAGTTGTGATAGTAGGAAGGATTTCCAATAAAATAGAGCACTGTAAACGTTTACAGAGAAGTCGTACCTATCCTAGATTTCAAGACAGTTCAAAAAGAAAAAAAATGTTATTGTATGTAAAATTTTTCTACACCTCAGAGAAAAAGGCTGTCTTGTAAATTTTTTGTAGTTGAAGAAGCTTTTTAAAAACAAACTCAAGTATTTTTAAATTAGTTTCATTATTATTTGTAGGACTTAAAACTTTTTGCAATATCAGACAAATTTCATATGGTTCCAACTAATTTGTATAAGTATGCATCTGCAGAAGAGAATAATTGAAGTGCTTGCTTCAATCGGTATCCACTTCATATTTGAAATTCTTAGTAAACTTAGCTTTCGAAATAAGCAAATGATTGCAACCTCCTCAATGAATTAGACCCTCATCTTATCGTTTTATAGGACGCGAGGCGCCCATCGTTAACATTCGTCCTTCTCAGAGACAAACACCTCACGAAGGAAGCAACATTATGTTGTACTGTGAAGTCACGAGAGGTGAACCTAGACCTACTGTATTTTGGTCCCGAACTGATGGTAGACCTTTATCAAGAAATGTTGAAACTGTCTCTCCAGAATTTCTCCGGTAAGAACTTTTCTTTCTGTCAATAAATAATATTGAATAGTTTTAAGACGCAAAGACCTCGCTTGAACTTAGAAATTAAGGTAGAGAACTGGTACTTATCTATCTAAAGGTATCAAAGCTTTGTATTTTTCAGTTGTTATTTCATTCTTTAGACAATGTACCCTGGGAGCTTAATATGCTGACTACCATGCTGGCCTAAAGGGACCGGCATCAACTGCTCCCATCAATGAGACGACAGTGGTGCATTTTGTTCAGTTGTGTGGCAAGCCAACAGATAATGCCGGCAGCGTTCTGGAACTAGTCGTCCAGGCAGATCTTATTGTACTTCCTCATCTATCTACTGAAACCATCAAAATGTACTTCCGTGACTGGTGCAACTGATCGATTTTCTTGTGTTAGATGTAAGTTTGGATTCTATGTTTCTTTTCTAAATTTTACAAATTACTCATTTCTCAGGTTCAACTCCATCACAGCACAGGAAGAAGGGGAGTACGAATGTAAAGCAGAAAATAAGGCTGGAAGTACTTCTGCCATTGCCTCTATTGTTGTTCAAAACCCACCTAAAATTACGATAACACCTGCAACCACTTTGACTGTCAGCCCTGGTGAACGTGTTCGTTTAGAGTGCAGCGCAGAAGGCCGCCCCACTCCCTCCGTTGAGTGGACCAAATTCTACAGGGCTCCTGCAGGGTAATTAGATCTTTTTTTCCTTATGGTTGGAATTGTGATGATAACACCCACTAAATATGAAAAAGGTGTTATTATATGGAGTTTTGTCGATCAATTTTGTGAGAAATCGTAAATAAATTGCCAGACAGTTTTATTTTATCATATTGGTGTATTTAGCGCCATTCATGATGTACATAATTAGCGAAGTAAGATATGTTTGTTTCCTTACGGAGAGGAAAATCAATTTGATTGAATTACATTAATCAATTTTCCTAAGAGAGGATTTTTTTCGGAAATCTTTTTCCTAAATGGACACATCCCTACTAATTGACATTATAAAGCAACAAGTATTTTTTCCATCCACAGCCTTCCAGGTTATGCTCCTGGTCCAGTTCCATCCCACACAGCTGTGTTCGAAATATCAGAGGCCACCATTACAGATAGTGGCACGTACACTTGTCGCGCCACAAATGATGTTGGCGTAACAGAGGAACGCGTAGAACTTATTGTAACATCAGACGACAATGAAATCAATCGGCTCCCAGAGCGTGGTGATATCATCGGAGGTGATCCAGGATCGTCTGGTCCAGGACCTGCTGTGCCTTATTATGAATATGAAGGTGCTGCTTCTGATGAAGTTCTGACCATCGCTGAAAATGGATCCGGCGAACTGAGATGTAACGCTAACAGTAAGTAGCGTCGATTTACTGAAATACAGGTTGAAAAGTGAACGCTAACAGTAAGTAGCGTCGATTTACTGAAATACAGGTTGAAAAGTGAAAGAGCAGAAGCTTTGAATTTGTTAGTTGTTTCTGTTTCTGTCTTTAAGTACCATTAAATATATTTTTCTTAAAAATAGTATTATCAGCCCTAGTAGCCACAGAATTGCCCTGGTAAAATGAAATTTTTTTAAAAAATCAAACTTTCGAAGATTTTGCCGTATCTATTCAAATTCTATATCATCTCCAAATTATACATAAAAACCAGCATAAACGCCTATTATACCTCTTATATGTAGAAATTTTTATGAATAATGTGAAGATGAGGCTAAAAATTTACCAAGAAAAAACGAATTGGAGTGGTTCAATCAGATGACATTTTATTCATTAAAATTCCGTCACATCGAATCATGAATTAAAAATAGGTACATACATGAATTCATTATACTGTTCTGAATCTCTTGTTACAACAACTAGATCTCATGTTGTACAAACACTACTATACTATACTGCTATGAGTACTTTCATCATATAATGGCACATTACTGCCCTTGTCTTTCTTGCAGCAATATGGATTCGCATATGATTTTACTTATTCTGTTGTATCCATGATGATAAACATTGTGATGGAAAATGGAAGTAAATCGTATTTATTTGTACTTGCATTATTGTACTAATTAGTAGCCAATTTTTTCTTTTTCAGATCCATCAGTATCAGTAATGTGGTACAAACGAGGATCTGCCACTTTGCCAGACAATGTTGAAGTACGAGGGGGAAGTCTAATCATTCGTGGAGCACGCAGTAACAATGCAGGCGATTATATATGCCATGGGCTTGATGACCGAGGCAGGCCTTTTGAGATATCTAGGAGATTAGAAGTTCGAGGTGAGAAATTTGTGTACTAAAAAATCTGAATCTCTTCATCAATATTCCTGTGATCTATAGCAAACTTTCTTCTCAGGCTGAATTACAGCACTAACTATGGGAAATGGGTTTCAAATCTAAGAAAAAATAAAGTTTCTTGGACTTTTCTTTAGCTTATTGGAAATGCCTGATTCTCAGTTATTTTTAATTTCTTGCACCTGTATTAATCACCCAAACAAATTGTACTTCTTGAATACAATTTTTGACAAAAATTGCAATAAAGGTGCTTTAAACCCCTCTAGAAATATTATGATCATAAATCAGAGTCTGAGAAGTTCTAAGATTAAAACTGTTCTAACTTGTTCCGAGAAGATTTTGAGATGTGTTCATTTTCAGTAAGGAAGTGGAAGTTTATTTGTCATTGAAATTTTATGGCTCTGTCTCAAGTCATATTCAGGTCCATCTAATATTCTGTTAAATATCCTTCAGGAAAACTTTTTCAGTAATTTTTTGCTTTCGATCAGTATATTGCTGCTTAAAAGATTAAAATATTGTCTATGTTCATGCTGCTAGCTGTTGATAAACTGTGTGTGACGAGTGAGAAAGGTAACTGTCTGTTTATTTTTGTTTTTCTGTGTATCCAAGTAGCTGTGATTGCGATAAATAGCGATTTTATCGGTTGATTATCGCAATTTCATCGGTGGCAATATAACTATCGAGATATTATCGCAATACGAATTGCGATATATGGTGATTAAATTAATGCTCATCGCAATTTTCGGTTTCGATAAAATCGTGATCAATTTTCTTCGATAAAATAGTGATTAAGTCGAAATTTATAGTGATATTTATTTTGAAAATATTGCAAAAAATTGTTGGGCAATAAAAGCGCAATTTTATCGCAATAAAATCGAGGATAATTGCTCAGATGTTGATGATCCTGGCAATTTTATTGCCGATAAAATCGCAACATATAGCGATGTTTCCGTTGAGAAATGCTTCCTGGGTACTTAGCGGCTGCTTTTTTATCTCCAAATATCAATTTCTTTACTTTTGATAATTCATTTTAGTAGAAAATTGTTCAGCTATCAATATTTGCAACTGCTGTAAAGCTCTCATGTTGTGTTTGATTAAAAAATTCAAACGCTACTCATACTTAATCATGTATGTAATATGCAACACATACAAATTAGCATGAGTGAAATCGGATTTTTGGTCTCTAACAAAAATTACCCATTCAAAGTTAGGTATTATTACTGGCTATAAAATAATTCAAGGGTCTCAGCATGCAGTTAAATTTAAAATCAGTTTTAGCATCATCAAATTCTTGTCACCAAAATATAATTTGTTTGTATTTCCAGCTCCATTGCGGATTGCGTTACGACCTATAAGTCAAACTGTGAGACCAGGTGATTTTGCAAGAATTAATTGCACTGCTGTCTCAGGAGATGAACCTGTCAGTATCACATGGGTCCGAGACTACAACAAGCCTCTGCATCCTGCTGTTGTGGTTGGAAACGATCTTTTGGTTCGTACCAATGATTTAGTTATAAATTGTAGCTGGTAAATTCACATTTCTTTTTCTAGTGTCATGAAAATAATAAGCTAAAGCAAATTGAATATTTATTTTCAAAATAAGGAGGGGTAATTTTTTTCCATGCAAATATGCCTTATCATAGCATCTGTGACACGGTTACATCAATTCTATGATATACTCTTTTCATTCCTGAGAAATAGATCCTCGGCTTTAAACAAAACCAAAATTGAGATGTCAATCAAATTATATGGAGAAATAACTTACAGATGTTTTTGCATGCAGATAATTTTCAATAATTCTAATTTATTTTTGTTATTTTCCTCTTTTTTATTTGTAGTTCTACGGCATCAATGTCAATGATACAGGTAGATACGTTTGTCAAGCTAGAAATCCCTATGGACAAGCTGAAGGTGTTGCTGAAGTCATCGTTGATAGTAAGCAATTTGAAAGTTCAAATTTAACTTTTATTTAAAATTTTCAAACCTAAATCTGTTAGTTTTTGTGTTGCATACCACTTTCAAGGGTCTGTCACCCTAATGCCCCTTTAGCGCTGCTGAGGTTAACAAAGATGACACTGGCAATTTAATGTCAACGATCAGCAGATTGACTTCAGAAAACTAACTGCCAAGAGACATCAACCGTAGATTCCTATGAGAAATTGTTTTATGCTCTGCGAAGCAAGGAGTATAAAAAGTGGCAGGATCCTTCTGAACCTATAAGGCAAAGAATCTATTGATCATGATAAATGCCAGTTTATACATGCTTGAATTTGAAAGCAAACTCGGCTAACGTTTTTCTTTCATGTCTGTATACATGACAATCTTGCCATAAATTTTGCATTTACGATATTTTTTAAAGCAGACTGCAATTTTTCACAATGATGGGGATGGTCGTAAAATATTGCTACTTTTGTACCCTGTTAAATTAGTCTCGTCTGCAATTACTCTCAACAAATAGTCCTGCCAGTACTTTCAAGGTTATTTGCTTCACAATTTTGAGTCATGTTTTTATTTTTTTATTTCAAAGCATCGCAGCCCATTAGACCAATCATCACTGCTGAAGACAAAAATGTTGTTGCCAGAGAAGGATCTGCAGTCACTCTTCGCTGCAACGTTCAATCAACCATCAAGGTGTGCAAGAATGATAATTCTCCTTCTTACTGAACCCTTAATAAAGAAAACTGAAAATAGTAGGGATGGGCAAAGCAAATCTTTTCAAAATCAAAGCAAGTAAGAAACCAAACGGGAATCGCTTTCACAAAAAAAAAAAAAACAGCAGTTCATACATAAATGACCCCTATATGAACCACCCAGTTGCAAACCTATCAATCTTAACCTCCCTGTCTAAAAATCGCATAATTATTAAAATTTAATATTCAAAGAACAAAAAGCCTCCGTGTCCATGTTTTCCTGTGAATTTCCTTGTGTTTAAGTGAGAAAATTGGGAACAGATTATCAAATTGCAACTAGGCGCCTCTTATGATAGTCATTAAATGACTTGAAATCTTGATTTCCTTATTGAACTTGCTACGCTGTGCATTTTTGACCTTCTGTTTCACAAAACAATGGTAGAACAAAGCGAGGGCTCTCTTCTTGAGTGATATATGCTTAGGAACAGAGGGAACGATTACTCCACGCTTTAAACAAAGTAAGAATAGAAAGTTTGGAAAAATATGTTGCAAATACCATCCGCATGTATGGACCAAAAATAGGATCTGCCCTTCCTGTTAGAATTTGTCGGATCTACCTATGTTTTAAATTTTACCCAAAATACTCCATCATCTCCAGGAAAAATCAGTATCTTTTCCGGAAGTGAATTTTATCAACATCCTTGGCTTTTTTACCTGTGATATACTGAATTACAGTTCATAAACTTTTAAATCCTCTCTGGTCTTTTATGTTTCCCTATTCATTATCTTCCCCATTTTTGTTGTTTGATCGGCAGGATTACCAAATATCTTGGGTGAAAGGTAGTCAGCCCCTTCGAGAAACGACCCCCACCCTCCAGCTGTGGAACGTCAAACTCAGTGATGCCGATCGCTATGCTTGTCGAGTCTCCTCTTATCGTGGGAGCTCTATTGACTATATCAATCTCAAAGTCGAGCGTGAGTACTGAGTAGACTAATGCGCTATCGGGTCCTTTCGTCAAAGCTGAATGTGCTCTTCTTCTCCTTTTTAGCCCTATCGTTCAATCGTAGTTTTTTGTCCCTCTCATTGATCAGACTTAATATTGTTCAGACTTGGAGCAGGACAGTCGGTGTTTGCGTGACAGTTAATAAGTACAAGTTGCTTTTCATTGTTCCCAAGCGTTTTTCTCCTAGTCAAATTCAGTTTTCGTAACTAAAAATTGAAAAAATAAGTCATTATAAAGTTTGTCCTAATTGCGCCAGTTTTGTCCAACTGAGAGGAATCCATTTTAACCGGTATGCCTCTAAAACTTTTAAGCATACAAATTACAGTGGTTGAAATTGGACTAGCTTTAATTTGGTTGAGTGTATTTTCATCTAAAAATCAGCATCGCAGCTTCAGTCCCTTTCTTTGTAAGAAAATAAGATATCTAATACTCAGCACTCTTTTTTGATATTGCCCTGTGTAACCTAAGGTGGTTTTCTTCCATGAGCTTCATTTGGTGGTAAGAGTGTCAAATATTTTTAAGTCAACTTATTTTTTACCAGACAGACAGTAAGTATTTTTTTTCTTTGTCAAGCAAACCTGCTTCCAAAACTGTTCAATTTTCTGTCCGATTTTTTTTTCGATATTATTTCTATAATTGGCCTTGACTGCTTCATTAGTTGTCGGAATTATGTCACCAAGAACTCCCCCCACATTACACCAAATTTTAGGCACCCTCGTTCTCTCATATTGTGATATTCAAGTAAACGCAATCGTATCGTTTACTTCTGTTTGTTTGTGCCATAAAATTTTTCTCTTAATTTATATGTATTTTTTGAATCCCAAAATGGATCATGAACATCTTTTTTTAAACTATTTTTGAATTGCATTTGACTTATATTTTATACCATATTTTCTCAAAAACTAGCCATTTTCTTAAATTTTTTTTGCCCTGAAATATTCTACAATGAAGAGAAATCTCAACCCTACAGAAAATACTAGCCGAAATATCCATACTCATGCACTTTTCGTTTCGTGTTTAAAATCTCTTTTTTTTCTTTCTTTTTTTATTATTTTTATAAAACCAATTATTCCTTCTGTTATTTATTGTCTGATCTATTTTTGCCTTTATTTTTTTAAGGTCAATTGCAATATTTGAACAAATTTATTTTTTAATTACTGTTTTTCATGTTACTTTAAATGTGTGTATTGAATCTTTTACGTTATATTTAAGCCATTTAATGACAAAATTCAGAAGTAACCTCAATGTGCTGGACATAAAACACAATGTATTATTTCTGTAGATTTGTTCGGATACATAAATGACCGACTTTTTCCACTTTAAAGCTATCGCTAAATGCACTGAATCATATTGGGGAAGAGAATATATCTGTCATCTAAATCATTTCTCTGTCTAAAAAATGTTCTGACCTTAAATTGACAATCAAATACTTTGCTATAATTAATGATTCATCTTCAAATCAGTAAAACTCACATTTTCAGCGAACACAATTTTTTCTCAAATAATACTTCACTATGATCTAATTGCACCATTGCTTTCATTGATTGGTTGAGACACAAAATAAACTAATAAAAGATTTACACATGTTGCATGTAATCGATATATTTAAAAGCACTTCACTAAAAGAGAAAATGTTGGAGAAAAATTCATGTACCAGAGCCCTCTTTATTTCTTTTGAACATTTAGATGTGTCAAAAGTCAAACCTACTGGGTGGAAATATTTGTCTCTCCATTTTTGAAGCATGTTTTGCATTCTCCCTCTAAGTATGCGTTCAAAATTTTCTCCTCTCTCTTAATTTCGAAGGAGTAGAGGAGGAAAATTGATGTGCATGCAGATTTACAAACACTGCCACCGAAAATAAGTTCCAGCAGTGATCAAGTGTTTGAACTTCGTACTAAATACAGGGCTGGATTTGAGCTTGGGTTAGGGAGGGTGACAGTTGTTTAAGAGAGCACGTTTTAGAAACTGAGTATTTCTGATGTAGAAACAAGGAAAGAGTGAACATTTCCTTTATATCTTACACTCTTGAAGTTCTGCTGACTTTTTAAAAGAAAGGAAAAGTCAGAGTTTTATTCTTCTGAAGTTAAACATAGATAATGTCACTGATTATAAGGAAATTATTTTGTTATATTGAACTCTTTAATTAACCTTTCTACACAATAACTGAGAGAGCAGAGCTTCAGTTTATCCATGGGTAATGAAAGCTCAATTCTGGCCCTGACTGATTTTGAAGTTAAGAAAGTGGAAAAAACACAAATTGCAACTGTCGTGCATGAAATCACACACGTGATAAAAATGAAGCAAAGCAAATAAAAACAAATAGTCTTTTTACTCCTACATCTGCATCAATTATCTCTGTATGTCTAGAAAAGACTCATCTAGTGTAATGCATGTTTGTGTCAAAGTTCATGTCTAATATATGTGTTCGTATTTTGATTTTTCATGTATGTGTATCCATTTTAGTTAAATTATATGTTCACGTGTTGTTTATATGTTTCTATTCTTTTTCTTTTACTCTTTGGTGATTGGCTACCTATACAACTGTCAAATTAAAATTCTGCCATCTCTTCAATGCCAGGCTTTCAAAATGTAGCAAGCTGCGCTGAGGGTGAAAAACGGTGTCCTTCCGGTCTGTGTTTACCAGAAAAGTACTCTTGCGAGTTCAATGATAGATATGATGAGACAAGCTATCAGAAAATCAGGAGGGGTGTGTTTTAATTCTTTTCTTTTGTTTTTTTTTTATTTTCTATCTTCAAACCAGACTAGTTTTTGAACTACCCTCTTGAGTTTTTTTTTTAAAAATTATGCCTCCTTTCTTTTTTCTTTGCATCATCAGTCCAAATTTTACATTTGGTACCATTTTTATTAATTAACAATTACAAGCTGAATATTCCTTATTTCCGTATAGTATATATTTTTTTTTGTTGAGTATAGTAAATTAGACCTCTACTTTTAATTTTTTTCCCCCAAAATAAACTTTCCTCACTAAATTTACTTGTGTCGAGAAAATTGATATTTTTTAATTAACATCCCTTTTTCTGTAACATCTCTATCATGTATCGGTTGAATTTCCTTTCATTACATTTCTCCCTAATGGTTAAACAAGCCTTTTAGTAGTTCAAAAACTTACCCTGGTTGATTTATGAATTATGACTATAGCTACTCTATGAATCATGAAGGCGCAACAAGGTTCTGAAAATTAGGGATGGAAATGATTTTGTGATGAGTTAGGAGCAAATATGTCGCTTACAAGAGACCCATTAAGATAATTAAAAACTAAGAATCAAAAAAGTATTTTTTGCATAACTTTTAAGTTATTGTCTGGGAATTAATGCAGAGAAATAAATCTCAGGGGATAAAGAAGGATGATGAATACAGTTTTTCCCATTTAAAATTCTCATTTTTGACTCGTGCCATAGCACTGAATGGTCAGGTAGTAGTGATTATAATCCGTGCAGATCGCGAAAAAGGTAATCAAATCTAGGATGGGGAGTTCTAGTGCTCAAGACAGTGTTGCTCACCAGCGCAATTATCTGTCCGGAAAAATGTAGCTTCCAACCACTTCCAACCTAGAAGTACTCCAAGTAGAGTTTGAAGTTAAATATCGCCGTCTCTCATTTTGGACACCTTAGTGAATTGGTATGTACAATTCTGCATTTTTGATGTCTCCTTTTCCTTTAAATTTTAAATGAAGTTTTTGACTCAAATTATCATTGACATTTTTTAAAATTAATTAACTTTTGCGTTGATTTTATTCGTGTTGTTTAAGCGAGTTGTCTAATTCAGTACTTAATAAAAACTAGTGAGTTAATCAGTGTTGCGCTTGGTCAGATCAGTCATCATAGTCATCATTCATAATGATCTCACGTTTTTTTTTTTTTTTTTTTTTTTTTTTTTTTTTTTTTTTTTTGTTTGTTTATTATCATTTGGCAATTTGAGAAGATCTACCTTTTTTGTTATTATATATAAAATTTCAGTCATCTTATCCCTTACCGAAACGAAATGTTCTAGCTTTTATTTACGTTGTTAATAATTTAAATCCTATCCCTCCTCATTTTTAAGTACATATGTGCTGCCTGTATTAGCCAACTTATGCTCTTGGAAAGAGATTTACTGTCCCGCCAATAATTTTTATCTCTAGATTTACCGATTCTCCAAACGCGTTTTCAAAATGATTGTGCTTACAATGCCACATCTTCTCAAAGTGCCTTTCATTCATGTCTGTTTGTTCTGCTTTTACTTCATTTTTTTCCATTCATATAATGATTTTATGGTGTCAAGTAGCTATTAAAGAGTTCCTACAGCATCATAACTTAAAGTATCATTGCCACCAATTTGATTAATCTCTCCCGTAAATTTAGATTTTACCACTTCTAGAGAGGTACTCTGAGAAGAGCTGTACTTCTCCTATCATAAAACTACATTAAAATATTCAGTTTAAACCCCTTGTGAGAGTATCAAGCAGTTTTGATCTTGCAAAAGTTCTCAATAAAAATTTGAGGAAAATTACTTGGTTCTGCTGCTATTCTTTTTATATCTGGTCCCCCTCCCCTCTTACCAACCATTCTCCACATCAAAATCATTCTGAAATGTTGTTTTATGTGTGCTTCTTTTGGTTTTTTTCATGTTGTCCCTGTTTTTGTATCTGTTCATGTGTTACTGCTAACACCTTCCCTGAATGCTTCGTAACTTTAATATGGAATGCGGTTTTAATACCATTTAGAGTTCTGGGAATAATGAAAGACGCATTCTCAAACTCTCAATTCTCTCTTGCAAGTGGGAAATCATGCATATTTGTTTGTCTGTTTGATTGATTACTAACTTCAAAATTAGCATATTCCGTCCATCTTGTGTCTGCACGTCAAGTATTTAATTGTATCAGTTTTCCCAATTTGTAAAACTTTGAGTTCTAGATAAAGTTACCGATTGGGTTTGATTTATCACCAATTAAATCTTCGGCAGATTAGCCCAACACTTTCATTGTCTCTAAACTTGAAATTTTCTGCCCTTAAATAATTTTTGCTCTCTTTTCGGAAATTCGACTTGAACCACTGAGTCAGTAACTGAAGGTTTCAATAGCTTCGAATACATAAATTTTAAATCCTCTCCTTAGCAAAGTAAAACATGTCCAGCTATGTCATTTATTTTAGAGAGAAAAGTCGTAAGAAGCTTATTTCTTTCCTCAATGTCGACACTTCAACTAGATTTCAGTCTGAAGGTCCAGCCTAACGAAAGCGAGTCGAATAACTGTAAGATTAATCTCTCTGCGTCTTTTTTCTTTGATACCTCATTATCCTGAGCTCTTATTGAAATAGATTTGAAATAATCTAGATATTTTAAATAAAGATATGAAATAATAGATTTGTCCTCCACTGTGAAGTAATATGAGAATATGTACGCAAAAAGACTTGTTCACGCACATGAAGCAAAACTGAATTAATTGTTCCTCCTTCCTTGCTTCATAACATTTTCCAACAATTTTTGTAATTGCAAATATAATTATGCTTTAAAATGTGTGATTTCCTCAACAGGAATTGATAATATCTCGCTAAATATTGAGTCAAATCTTGATATCATACACCGTGGGGACAATGTTGAACTGCGTTGTCACATCTCTGGAAATGCTGATCTTCCTATCTCTTGGCAAAGAATCGGTGGCACTTTTGATAGCAATGTTATCATGACTGGGTCTCTTTTGAGGTATTTTATCATTCTTCAGTTCCTCAAATTTTTAATTTTATTTTTATTTACTCCATAAGTCTCAGACCTACCGTGGTACACACTATGCTTTGTCAGACTGGTGTAGCTGGACCGACAATTGTAACAATGGGGCACTTCCAGAGGAAAGCATGATAGCAAAAGACGGTACAACCGTCCTCTTGTAAAAAATGAATTGTCTTATAAAATGTCCCTCGGTTCTCTATCAAAAACAATACCTACTTGTTGTGAAGATGAAGGTGCAAACATTTTTCAACTGGCCTCATACTCATTGCTCAATTTATTCTCAGAATAGGCGTGAGTTTGTCAAAGTAATTTATCTCTCTTGACTCCAAAAATATTCCTGAGCAGTTAACTGCATTTGACACATTCATTTTAATTTTTAAGGTAAGTCTTGATTCCTAATAAATTAAACAAAGAATACAAACTATTCTCTTTTCTATAGGCTAAACAATGTACAGCCTGACAATGCCGGGATTTATCGTTGCTACAGCCATCCTGTACCAAGCACTCGCTATGTTGACTACAACCTTGTTGTCGAAGGTAAATTTCTAATTTTCTGTTCTGAAAATACAATTAAATACAATTACAAAGATATTTAATCTCAAATATTTTGCTCCAAAAAGAAATTATTTATCAGTCATTTTTTAGCTATAAAATTCCAAAAAATTGGAATGATGCTGTGCCAGCAAGCAAGCTAAATTAGCAATGTGAAATAAATCAGTATCGTTGATATCACATCAAGGATCATCTACAAAATAAGGCTGAATTCACCCATGGCTAATGTATTTTAAGCTCGACACTTGCAATCAGTAGATAATTTCAGTAGGTCCATGCCGAAAGTTTCAAGCTCCCCATAAAGTTTGGCGGACGTGTTAGGAGATCAAAATGTCAAATTTTCAGAAATTATTCATTGGAGAGAAAGAATCAAAACAAAAACTTTCAGCATAACAAGAGCTTTCAAAAAACATATCCTAGGAGAGAATTGTATGTAGTTAAACTTGAGTGAAAGTCTCTAAAACACTGCAATAGAATTAAAAACCTTTCATATTACATTGAGGCCAACAACATGTCGTATGTTCCATTGGGCTAATATAAAGTTAGGTACTACCACTTTTGCTAGAAAACGTTTTAAATTTAGACAAGGCACTGCTGTTACACTGATGATGCTCAAACGATTCACCCGAAAACTCCCCTTAGAGGCAAGGTCATGTAGGGGACTACATATATTTTATTTTAAAGCTAACATATTTAGCTAAGCTCAAGATTCTATATACTCCTTAATGTAAGAAAAAGGAATGTCAATTTTAAAACCAATAACTTCTGTCTAGGAGAAGCACCCATCAGCTCAAATTATCAGATCTCCAGGAGAGAAGCAAATTATGGAACTAATGTGACAATTAGTTGCACAACAAGTATTGACCAACCAATCAAGTATTCTTGGATCAAGCAAGGAGTTGGTTTTCAAAATCCACCGCATAAAAATTCTGTAAGTATGAAACCAGACTATTATGTCCAGAACCTGGAAAAATGGGAAATTACTGCAATTAAGGAAGGTTCCTATATTCCGAAGAGTGGTCCTCGTATGATGTATGACATAGTGTACCAAGTTTTACGCTGCTTTCTGTTATGATCACATCAGACGACCAATAGTGCTCTAATGTCAATCGAAATTGCGGACCAACTCTTGAGCAGGTTATTTAAAGAGTTTGCTATTTGGTCACAGATCCAGCCAATGGAAATAAACGACCCAAAAAACCTGTGGCCAAGCAAATAATTCAACATCAAAGTTCCTGAAGAGATTGTTTTTAGTATTTTTGTTCGATAGTAATGCGGTTCTAAATTGCTTGTAGTTCATGGAGCAGCAATCACACACTTGCCTCTATAGTAAACTTTATATCTGGATTGTAAAAAATTATAGACACCTTTGTATTCAATGGCTTTGATTTCTTTGAAAAATTAATAGCCTGCAGTAATGCAATGGACTACAAGACAAGGTGAGCATTGAACATCTAGAAGACATCTTTTTTTATCAAAACTTCATGTAGAGTATGTTGACCCTATTAAAAAATTCCAAAATCAACTCATTAAGTGAAAAATGTACGTGTTTATTTGCATTATTCAGTGTTTTATTATTAGACTCACTTTTTTTGTTCATCTTTAATATCTTTTGATATTTTGTATATTTTTGACAGCCAACAATCAATATCCCATATGCAACAGCGAATGATGCAGGAAGATATATTTGCACTGCTGCAAACCCTAAAGCAAGGATCGATATTCCCACAGTTTTAACAATCAAAAATGTAATCCCTCGATTCACTGGAGCATCCTCCTACATCAAATTACCACCTTTGAAGAACTCACACTCGAATTTCACGATTGAAATTGTATTTAAACCGGAGAAACCTGATGGTACATTTTTATTTCTGTTTTTTCTGTTTTCCTCTAATTTAATTTCTGAAACATCTCTAGTCTTCTTTGTCAATATTCGTTAACTCCCTTTTAAAATCAGCATAGCAAGCACAGCTTTTTTGACTTTTTTTCATTTCATGAAATTATTTTGCGAACTTATCTAATGAAAAACTGGGAATGGTTCAGCTTATTAGTGTAAATTACTTCTTTCAATCACATCTGACCCAACTTGTAAGCTTTTTAGCATACGTTTTCTTTTTTCTTTCAAAATGAATTTTTTGGGTCACTCAAACATTTGATAAGTTTTGAAGAAAGATCTTACAGTTCTTAATGCTTATACAGAAAAGAGTCTGTTAGTGTATTTTCGTATTTACTTGCTATTTTTAATTTTTTTGATTTCTTGTTTTTCCCCTACATAAAGTGTTTATTTGAATTTGGAAGGCTGCTGCCTAAAAAAATATTTCCCAAAATAATTTCATAAATGGTTAATTTTTTAATACTAATTATTAATTAAAGAAAAAATTTCATGAACATCTCTTTTTGCTCAGGTATTTTGTTGTACACACTGGATGCTAATCTTCAAAATCAGAACCCTGATTTTGTGTCTCTCATTCTCAAAAATGGAGTGCCTGAGTTCAAATTTGACCTCGGATCAGGTCCTGCAACAGTTACTGGTGATCCAATTACCATTGGCGACTGGCATACAATTCTGCTCGTTCAAAATAAGAAGTTGGGAGAAATGCACATTGATGGTGGTCGAGCTTACAGAAATCAGTCACAGGGCTCATATGTTGGCCTAGATCTTAGGCAGCCTTGGCATATCGGCGGAGTTGCGGATCTGAATTTGTTGCAGAAAAATAAATTGTCATCTGGCTTCACAGGTTACTATTACCTCCTCAAACATCGAATTTTTTATAATCCCTAACAGAATTTAAAATTGATTTTCTAATTTTATAGTTAACTGTAGGTAAACTCGTGGTAAAAATCTCAAACAAATGAGTGCACTAGATCAAAACCTGCCTTACCTCCAATTTTCCTTCTGGCCATTTAGGAAGCTACGATTTTTTGCCAGACTGTAGCAACATCCTTGCTAAGGCTCACACATTAAGGGTTATTGAAGAACATTCCTGACCGGAGACAGTTACTGGCAGCAAGGTTTCCTCAGTGGTATGATGGAAATCTTGTAGAATAATCAAAGCAAGAGATTGACAAGGTTACCATAAACTTACCATAAAGTTACTGACCTCTTGCAATAACGCAAACGATTGCAGTAACGATTCTGCAATTAAAGCATAGAGGGTTAATTGAGAGATTTTTTACCTCATTTTCACAGCAAGGCTACTTTAACATTGCAATAGGGTTCTATTTGGGTCGTTTAGTCTTCTCCAATACTATGATACAATCATTTAAGAGCATCATTGTATTATTTTCAATCTCATAAAGGAGAAATTCGTAGTCCACCTTGTTACTCCTTTAAAATCAAATATGTATTCAAATCAAATATTATTGTTTAAGTAAAGAGCGATCTTGCAAAGTTTTTTTCAATTTTTTTTTGCCTTACAGGTTGCATAAGTCGCCTCGTGACAGGTACAACAACCATCGATTTAATGCAGTATGTGGATAAATCATCGAGAGGAATCGAATCTTGCGAAACTTGTCAGTGGAATCCGTGTTTAAATCATGGCATTTGTCAAGAAGCTCCAAACAAGAAAGGTTACTTCTGCATTTGTGCCTCTGGCTATAGTGGCGATGACTGTGGAAGAGTCGGTGAGACTTGCTATCCAGGTCAGTTTATTATTTCATATGAAAAACAACTGTATCTCACCTAAAATTATAAAAGCGCTTTATATTTAAACAATATTACTGACTAAGGCGGGCTGTTGCTTTAGTTTATTGTAAAATGTAACATAAGAAGAAACAGGCAAAGTATGATGAAACTAGGCTGAGTCGACGTAAAGTAGACCATTCTATTCAATTACACACCAAACTAGTGTAAGCATATGAATTGTTTTTTGTCTTGAGGAGATAATAAGTTTGCCCATGAAAATTTAGTTTCAACTGCTCCAACCCATAGAAAGCCATCAATAAGTACAATCTTATTACTATTAGTATCATTAATCCCTAAGTTAAGGCAAGATTTCTTTTTTAAAAACTCCCTATAGTATCAAAAAACAATCTACAGAGAAGAATTTCAATACTGCGCTTAAAAATGTGTTTATCGATAAATATTTCTATTCCGAAGCAGATTTTTCAGCATAAGTTGGATTATCATGTTTTTTTCACAATCTTACTTATTTTTAAGTGATTTTTACCAGCCATCCATAGTGCTTTGCTAAGTAAAATATATTTTTTTTATTTATTTATTGTAGTTTTGACTTACAAATTCTGTAAAATTTTTCAGGCATTTGTGGTGAAGGTCGATGCCGAAACACAGACGGAGATATAGTTTGCCATTGCCCCATTGGTAAAAGCGGGTACCGATGTCAAGAGCCAGTCACAATAACCGTACCGTCATTCGACGGTGATGGCTTCATTGCCTACCGCACCCCCAAAAATCCCACAAATATGAAACTATCCATGCGAATCAATCCTAGCAGTGTTGAGGATGGAATTCTGATGTATGCTAGTCAGAGTTTTGATGGGAATGGGGATTTTACCTCTCTAACCATTAAAAATCATCAAATTGAGTTCATGTTTGATACTGGATCAGGTGAGTTTTATCAGCTCCTCTTCAAAAATAGAATGGTTTGAATTTATTTTATCATTTGCTGTACGATTTATTAATTGACTATCCCTCCAATTCTTTTCTAACCTTACTGGTAAGTATTGACTCAAATGATTTGTAAAGTAATAAGCCTAAAATGATGCACATATTGTACTCTTTCATGAAAACCAAAATGTTTTTGAAGGAAAAAAAAAACCCTATAAGGACCGAGTGCAGGTTTAGCAGCAGCGTGATGATGAAATTGCAAAAATGTGTATCTTGGTTTGTGACTTTGCACATTTCCTGCCATACTGTATTTTCTTTATGGGAAGCTACTAATCATCATTTTATATGTAAATTATTCATTGAATTCTAGTGTCTGCAATATTCTTCCAGCTTTTTTGTGTATTGTCAACTGCAAGGCCTTAACATTTATGAATTGTGTCCACCAAAATATGTGAACGAATTTCCAAATGTTTTCATTACATAAAAAGCATTTTTAAAATACTGTCATTTCTCCCAGAAATGATTTATACTCCTATCGTCATTGAACAAACGTAATCTTTTTTATCTTCTAGGTTTGGTTGTTTTGAGAAGCAGTCAAGATATCATTCCGCGGCAGTGGACATTGATCACTTTAAATCGAAACAGGAGTATAGCTATGCTTCAAGTAGCAAACGAAGCCCCCGTCTATCAACGGCTTGGTGGAATGGTTGGGGTGGATCTCACTACTAATTTATATGTTGGTGGCATCGATCGCGACAACATAACTTTGAATAGTAATGTGCAAGTGTATTCGAACTTCAGAGGTTGTATTTCTGATGTAAGTAAAACCAAGTTAACCAGTTCCTATTTATCTAATGAAGGTTCCAATCATTTGAACGTCAGAAGCATCCATTTCTGAATTCCATTTTGGTCAAAAAACCATTGATTGACTCAATATTTGCATTTGAAAAGTGGCCGCCAATTCCCTATGGGAAAATACATTGTAAGTAATGAAGAGACCAGGTTTGTCATGAGATGTGATGTAATTAGTGAACCGGATCTGTTCCTGTGTAAAAGTGACCGTTTTGAATGGGTCGGTTCTAAGAACAGCTTTCTTTGAGTTTGAGATGTAATTTCAAGCTTATTTAGTAGTGCCATCGTTATTTTCGTTGAATTTGCCATTGAAATCAGTTATCCATGTGCAAATCCCCGCACCTTTCAACAGGCCCATTTGGCCAAAAAATCATAGGGAGCAGACCATTATGCAGAATATTTTCTCTGTACTGTCAAGCGTTAAGGATCCTTCTCGCAGGTTTACGATGGAGCAAATCCAGAAAAATGTCTTATGGACCCAGCCGGCAGGTAGCTTTGGAACTGTAATGTTGTGAACCAACACTGTGAAAATCCTCATAGCTCTTAAATTTTAAACATGTGCCATTGAAAATAAATATTAAACTCAGTTAAATGCTTGATTAGTTAAATGAATTGAACTTCTATTTTTTCCTGTTTTTGAATAATCCTTTATCATTTAAAGTTGCTAGTAATGGCTGCATTGATTTATGTATCGTAGGTATCAGTGGCAAATGTTGTGTTCCACCCTGTGAAATCTGTCATTGATTCAGCAAACATACACCAATGCCCTCTGGCAACAAACAACTTTTGTGCTAGCGCACCCTGCATGAACAACGGCATTTGTCATCCAACAGTTGAGTCGTACACTTGTAAATGCCCCTCACAATATGAGTAAGTCAATTTTTTTTTTTTGCATCCACATTGCCAAGCTATTATAATTTTGAAGCTAAAACATTTCACCACACTCTTACGGTATCTTCTACCTTGGAAAGCCTAAAATTATGTGATTTTCCATCTGAATGTAGTGTGTGTTTTACCTCTGCAGTGGCATCCAGGTCATCATTTATTTGGCTCAATCTGTATCTTCTAGTGAAACGAGTGTATAAATAGTTGAATCTAAAAATGCATATCCCAATCGCAACTTTTAAAAATCTCCAATTATGCCTTATTTTCCGTAAGGAGAACTAATGAAAATGTCTCTTCTGCATGTTGTGTGATTTTTTTTTTATCAAGTATAGAAAATTCACAAACAATCCAATAGAAGCGGTTGGTTTGTTTTCCTCCAATAAGTGTAAACATAAACGGAAACTTACACCGTTACAGTTAGCGATATGCATTCTATGATGTCAGCCCTTGATATGTAACCATATATTTAATCAGTAACCATCATTAACCCATTTGTGTACATAGACGATTATGCTTGTCAGTGCTATACCAGGACAACTGTGCGTAGACAATGTAACTAGCGCAGTTGTTTGGTGATTGTTCGGGTCTCGTCTTTCGAATTGCATGATAGATAGCACCATGGTAATTGTTCTAAAGATCATTCATGAGTACACAATTGCCCTCCTGATTTCTGGCACCGCTAGGTGTGGTGGGCAAAAATAGATGCCAGTGCGCAAATGTGTAAATACGTAGCAACTTTATTTTCGCACAAGTTTTTATTTTAAGTAAGAAGTGAAGCTAAGTAGTATCAAACAGATAACTATCAGAATTACCATAGTGTCTTTTTCTCCTCAAATTTCAAATTACTTTGCAATCCCAACATAAACAGCCATAATATTTGCTTTCCACTATTAATTTTTTTTGTTTTCCCATCCATTAGCGGCGATAATTGTGAACGCAAGAAGAGTATCTGTGATACACTGCATCCATGTCTCAATGGAGGAACCTGCTTAGGCAGTAGTTACACTTACACGTGCAGCTGTCCTTTAAGATTCAAAGGATCCACCTGCAATGAAAGTATGTCTCGTCATTTGTTTTTATTCCTTTGTTTCCTTTCTTTAAAAATCTACCTTTTTTGTCACCGAAATCGTAACAAAGTAATTCGAAGAGTCTTAGTTTAGTCAAAACGTATGAATCACTTTTTTTCTGCTCTTGAAATCTTATTTATCATTTAGTATACCAGTTCAACATTCTTATTTGAGCGATGAAGTGGTGCATTAAATTGAATCTGTAATTTAAAGAATAGATATTCACACAATAGACAACTTGAACTCATAAGTAGAATGAATAATTTGTATTTTATGCTCATAAGCATTTATCAAAAGTATTCCTTGAGATTTGATGAAACAGGTATTGACCCAATGTTATTCAGCAAATTAAAATTAATATTAATCTAACAATTTCCCTAACATAATGGAACTACCCGTTTTTCAGGAAATATAGTCATAGTAGCAAATCTAAGGAAAGAAATATGAAGTCAGGCAGTCTACGCAGTCCCAACCTTGAAAATTAAAATCTTGACCTGTAAAAATATCTCGTTGAATTAATTTGGTTCCGAATCTGACAAATTGCAATGTCTCTCCTCGGAGACTAGTAATGGAATTATCACATCAATTTTTAAAGGCCGCCAAACTTGTTTGATTCACAATTCTCTCTATTTATTCAGGCGTTTCATCTCGAATTCTTCATACTTAATAGTAACTACTTTTTCTTTAAATTAAAATTTTCAGGTGTAGAAATAGGAGATGAAATTTCTTTCAATGGCAACGGCTATGTTGAATTAAGTGGTGATCTCCTCCCTCACGTGCAGCTTGATGATAGTGACATAGTAGAATTGCAGTTTTCAACCAGTCACAATGAAGGTATTCTACTATGGCATGGGCGAGACCCCAAAGAATTTGGCAGAAATCAAGACTACTTTGCAATTGCAAGTATGTATTGGTCTAATATTTTCAAACAGTTTGCAAGTATCACAAAAAGTACCTCGCACTCACAGAATGTCGTCCAAATATTTTCAAAGGAAAGAAAAGAAAAAGCTCATCGTTTTTGTTTGCCTCAACGTGATCTGCAGGTAGCAACAAGAAATTAGAAAGCCTCATCAGACAATTCACAAATTTTAAAATTAGGACAATGTGTCTGCTTGAATTTGGCTTTCAAGTTTCATGCAGTGATTTGAAAGTACCACAAATGAGGCAAAAAAATACTTCAAAATAATATAAATTGAATTTTCTGTTCATCTATCATGTTTTATTCAACATTTATCGAAGCCTCATAAACAACATTTTACTTACCTATCATTTGCAATAAATCCATTTTATTGTGGCGTGGCCCCAAATTTCATGTCATTTTGTTAATAACGTTGACTACAATTTGAAAAAGTAAGTTTTTATGGAGAAACCTTGAGGGGCCATATCCCCCCTTCGAATGGCTTAAACAAAAAAATACCTAGTCAAAGAACAAAATTGTCCTATTTCAGTCTAAGTATTTGATTCCTAAATTTTCCGTCACATGATTAGGGACATCCTATATGCGGCGAAGACATCTTCTACGTACATGAAATGATTTCAGAACTTCTTGTTGGGTAAATTTATTCCTCTATGTATAAAATTTTGATGAGAAAACATATAACATAGTGCTTTGGTAAGTGCCTTTGTCCAGGGTTCCATTAGTGCAGTATTTGAAACCATCAACCATCAACCATCAGGGTTTTTAAGGAGAGCAGACTTGGTCCAGAGTACTCAATATTCACCCCTGCATTTTTTTCGTTTTTTTTCAGTCGTGAATGGCTCAGTAGAGTTCAGCTACGAACTTGGATCTGGTCCAGTAACGATCCTTCTCTCTGAGCAGAAAGTCAATGATAATCAGAAGCACACAGTAACTGCTAGAAGGCAAAAACTGGTTGGATCCATTCAATTGGATGGTACTTTCTCAAAATCTGGAAGTAGCAAAGGTGGTCTGACCCAGCTGAACACCAGCGGAAATGTGTTCATCGGTAAGAGACTTACTCCTAACTGTGAAAGAGAAATGACCATATGAATATTGTGTGTATTTTTTTGTTCAACCTACATGTTAGACCTATTTTTCTTCAATCGAACTAGATTTTTGGGAGTTGTGTTGTGGTGTCTTAAAGGTAAAGTCTAACCATGTTTACATAGTGGTTTCGTCCTCCCGGTGGTGAAACCTGAAAGCAAGTCATGCAACACCGTAAATGTCTTGCCACCTTATTTCAATAAATGACGACTACCATTTGTAATTTTTAAAATTTTGCATAGTTTTCCCTTACCTATGAAACTGTCGTCGATAAATCTTGTGTAAAAATACAGAGCCAGTTTGCTTTTGATCAAAAAGGTAAGGCCTGAAATTTTTGAATTACTGCAATTAAGGCACTAGGTTCTTCTTTTAATTTCATGAAAGAATTTTTCCATACCTCTGCAAAACATTTTAAAGTACGAAAGTTTTCTGTAGTCTGATAAGTTTTTATTTCAATCCAGGTGGGCTACCGAACCCGGATACAATGACAGATGGAAAATACCTGGTTGGCTTGTCTGGTTGCATCCATTCGCTTCGCATTCAAAATCAACCACCAATCCACATTGGTAGAGTTGCCATATCCGGTGCCAATGTTACTCCGTGTTCAAGGTAATTCTTATCTTTTACTTATTTACTTGAGAGTTTGTGAAAGAGCTAAATGTGTAATTTGTGTATACCAGCTGCTAATCGCATTGCTGAAGATTATTTATTGCCATGATGAATGGTGATAGTCCACAGGATTAGCAACTTTGATTTAATAAAAACCTCAGGGTTGAAATGTTGATACATACTGTTATCATGGTTTGTTCGGCCATCGAAAGTGCTTAAGTCCTTGATTTTTAACTTTTTTCTAGGTCTTGAAAGCGATTGATTTTTTAGGAGGTGCCTGAAAAGTGCTTAAATTTGACTCTTTTTGATTGTCAGCGGTGAATGCTGGTTGCTAAGAAATAGCAATTAATAACAAAAAACAAACGGAATTTCTAGGTATTCCATGCAAAGTTCTTTTCTCCTGTCAAAAATTCAAAGATGCGAAAAAATATTTTGAGCATGATAATAGTCATTAAAGTTTGTCCGTAATATTGAGTTTTATGGAAGAGTAAAACTTCTAATTTCCATTTCTCCATTCGAACGGTATGTGACTTGGTGCGTTTTTGTTTAACACTTTTTATGTAACATTCTTACATTTTGATGAAGAATTAAAAAAAACTTAATTCTATCTTGCATCCAAAACTCATGTTTTAACAAAAAATTATACAAATTAAGCCTTTTCTAACTGCCTTATTAATCATCAGGTTTAGTCTCGAGAATGCAGGTAATGAAGGTCAAATGGTTGCACTCTTATTTTTTTCTAGTTTAATCAGTATTTATTTGATTTACAAGTAAACTATAGAAATTCGAGCAGATGGAATGAGTAAATGCAGACACCTTTGGAAGAATTTCTTTTTTAGCTGTCGAAAGTATCTGAGATGATTACCATAGCAGTATAGATAGAATGGTTTATTTGAGAGTCATCCTAGCCTTAAGTTCATAGCCTTTCAGCACATATCAATGTTTTAGGTTCTCAATCAGCTCACAAAATGTTTAGTTTGTAGTTCTTTTAGTACCTTATCCCTCATTATTGATTCTCGTATCTACTGTAACTCAAAATATAAATGGCATATGTCGACGGTGTAAATCCGCAACCTTGTATCTTGGTTTGCAACGTGGCAGACTTCTCGGCATAATTATTAATATGAATGGAATGAAATATTAAATGGAAAACTACTCAACGGCAATTCTTAAAAACTGCCGAGATTTTTCTTTTCCGTGCGGAGAAAATTCTAAGAAAACTTCAAGGAATCATGTAGATTTGTTCCCCTTTAAAAAGATAAAACAGAAGCAGAGTTTTTCAAACCCCGCAAACAGATATATGGTTGCGGACTTACACTGTCAGTGTACTCTATTGACTTTCCCTTCCATTTTCAATCGGGTTAAAGTTCTCTTATATTCCGTTGAAATGACCTCATCACATATATGGAGGAACCCGAACGGAACTGGACGACTTTTACTCTGGCTGCCAGTATTCTAGATTTTGACTCTCCTTCTGAGAGTGTCTTATGTAACACTTAATGATGCACTATATCAAATCATATTGCACAAAACCCTCACAACAAATTTTTATGGTTATTCTTGGGTGTCCTTTTTTTCCGACGTCATTTCTCCAGTACCTACGTTTTTTTCTCCAAACATTTTATAATGCAGTAGTCTAGTAAGTGGGCCTGTTTTGGTGGTGTAGTGATCAAGGCAATGTGCTGCCAGCCCGAAGGTCCTGAGTTCAATCCCTTGTAGTGACAAGCCTTCAAGGTCACTCAATCCGTCATCATAGCTGTGGGTGACCATGTCACTCCAACACCTTGTCTTGTCCCTTTGAGGCAGCAGGATGGGAAAGAAACATAGTCTTGTGGTAGTAGTCAGTTCGCTTTTACAATTAAATCATGGATCACTCTTCGTGTGCGAGACTGCCAGCATCACCTATCAGTCAGAGATAAAACAACTGAGCCCAATTTGGTGGGGGCATGGCTATACTCCATATGTCCGTGCTTGGTAGTGTCTATCAGTGTTGTCAATACAGCTTATTGTCGGCCTATTAGATGGCCGGTGTGCCTCGCGGGAATGTAACACTTATCATATGAGTGAGTGCAGGAACACAGGAACACTTTAGGAACTACCGGATGCACGACAGCTAAAGATGCCTTCGTCTAGGCCCACAGGGTGCCTAGCTCGTAAGCCTGGCTCCCTTTGTTTCGATAAAAAAAATTTTTTTCTTAATCGATGAAACCCTATCTGAAAATGTAGAAATGATTACAGAACTTTCAAAGAATATTCTATCATTAGTCGGACCATGTCCCCACATTCAAGAGTATCACTTACATTGATAATACAATACACTCTCAAAACTGAAAGTGGTTGAAATTAAGGCTCTAGATTTTTTTAGTTCCTTTTGGGTCTCATGTTACATTTTTTACTAATATTTATTTAACAATGAGACATGAAACTTATGTAATTTTCTCCATGCTTTTCACCTCTAGTGCAATGTTTTCATCTACTTATCTAACATTTGCTTCCTTCTTTTATTGCTGCTTTTTGGGATTTTTGTTCAGGATTGAATGGATTCCATCATCTTTGATTTCAACGCGAGAAATTGAGACTGATAAATTTTTTGAACGTGACAAAGTTCACACACAGTCCACAGATTTTAATCTGTTCACATTAAACAACTGTGGTTGTAGTTTATTCATTTCAGTTAGCTATTCACTATTCATTGCTGTGGTGATTTATGCATTTTTAAGATGAAACTATCAGTACTTTTTAGCATCTCATAATTTTTTTAAATAATCTCTTTTTTCAATATTGAGATTTTCCTGTTTCCAAAGATAATTTTTCTAATGATACTTATAGTTTAGATATTTTAGAAATGCTAAGTGTGATGTGCTCTGGGTAGCTGAGTCTATATAAATAGTTAGATCTCCTTGTCATCATAATTTATTAGCTTTTACTAATTTGCTCTGTCGCATAAAATATTTCCATGTGACTGGAAAATTTTACCGTTGGTGTATTAGGTAATTCAAACAGTGAAGACTGAATTTTTACGTATTATGGTCGAAAGTCTCTCATTCTGCTCCCCTTTCACATTTGGACCGTGTTAAACAGAAAGGAACCAAGCCACATCAGCTATTGCCAAATTCAATTGGACAATTTAATTTTTTACATGAAAACGGTTGAATGAATTTTTGTGCGAATTTCTGTGAATTTTCTCTGTAGTATGAAGCCAATTCCTTAACATTTTCAAAGGGATCCGCACAAACGTTTTCTCGTAAAAAATTAAATTGCCTAGTTAAAATTGGCAATAGCTGATGTGGCTTGGTTCCTTTCTGTTAAACGCGGTCCATTTAATCTTTTTCTTGTTAGTTCTTTTCTAAAATTGATGGAGTGAAAATATTGTTCCTATTATATTTAAAATGCAATTTCTTTCTTGGGGTATTTTATTGTTGGCTGTAGGCCAACTATTTTCTCTTCACTATTTCTCCTTGTTGAAAGGCAATTCTTCTACTTTCATTTGTTTAATATTTTATTTTATTTATTCATTTATCTTTTTTACTTTGTTTTGGATGGAAGTTGTAAACTTTCCTGCCTAACATTTTTCTCTATTTTTTTTTTTCTTTTTCACTTCTGGAGTCCCCTCGTATTAATTTTAGCCCTATATCTCATATTATTTGTTAGAGCGTATGTAGTCTAACATGTTGCACCATTAAAGAACTACTAATATTTAAATATTTCAAAATTGAACGCACCATCGATGAATATTTTTTGGCCCTTGAAGGTTATCTGTGAATGGCAGTAACCATTGTTTTTGACATTTTCTCATGAAAAAATGTGCCAACAGACCAGGTTCATACTTTTAGTGGCATTTATGTATATAAATCATATTTGATCACATGATCATATTTTTGACCTATTGTGAATCTTTCCTGGAAATAAACATACACCCACTCAGATATCTAATTGTAATGAAAAATCTGTTATGTTTTTCATTTTCAGCAAGAATCAATAGAAGGGTATTAAAACTGTGCATTTTGGAAAAATCGCTTTTAAAAAGCTGAAATTATTGGAAACCCCATTTATCATTGTGACCAATGATGATGGTCAGTGATTAAATTCTATATAAGTATTCAGATAGTGTTGACTTTAATTTAATTATTCAAAAGAGAATTCTCAGTATTGCGACATGCCTTTCACTGTAATCAGTCTTTTCTCACCAAAATCCAAAAATATAACGAGTAATTAGGCACATTTTAATGATACCTTGATGTTTAATTACTTTGCGGTAGAGATTTTCCCTAAATATTTCTATTCCTGTTTCATTTCTTCAATTTTTTTCTACACCTGTCTTTCATTTGTATTTATTTCTTTATGTGGCTATAATTTGTTTGTTTGTTTTTTTTCCACAGCTAATGAAGTCTTGGCGTCAACCAACCATGCTTGTTGATACTTTTTGTTTTAAAAGAATGTATTCTTTTTGGTCATTTCGTGTTAAATTCTTGTTTACTTGTAAGTAATTTTTTTTAAATCGATTGTTTACCCACTGTAAATCTGATAGTTACGTACAATTAATTGTTTTTGTTTGAATGAGATCATTGTCTCTATTTCATCAGTATTGCTAAGTATTTGTAACTTGATAGAATAAACTTGAGCGCAAATTGCATTTCTTAATTACTATAATGTCGGAAAATTCTTAGCTTTGTACATTCACTGGATAATTACATTATCATTTTCTTTTGAAATGGATTTGGATCGAAGAATTGAATAAACTGTCAAAATAAAAAAAAAAAAAAAAAAAAAAAAAAAAAAAAAAAAACTGTTTCAATTTAAATCTATTTTTGTCTTTGTATACATGATTAGCAGTATTTTCTGAATTCATCCGCAGGTGGTAATTATCCAGTGTTTCTACTTTTCTGATGTTCTGTCATCAATGTTTTCCAGTTTTAAGCCCTCAAGTTTTGTAAATATTTCCCGAGAAAAATTGCTGCTTATTGGATTTCATACAACTACAACAAAAATTCCTTAAATACTTACTATTTTAAAATCAACAAATCTATTCATTTTATGGAAATAATAACAAGATGCTCTCTTAGAGTAGGTAAGCCAATTTTCGGAATAAGTTCCATTTTCATTGTAGTCTATTCTTGCACTGTTTCCTGGTAATTTTCCTCCTAACTTTTGGCTCTATCATAGCCAATATTTTGCGAGTACATAGACACTGTAGGTGGCTCGGTTTCAAGAAATCAAATGTACGTAGCTGTAATTAAACTTAGAAAATATGAAGTTTTTGATGACTGAAATTCAGTTGATTTTGTAAATTATGATTTTTTTTGTACAAATGTGATATAGTCCTAAAATTTAGAAAACTCATTAACATACTTCATCTAGGTAAAAGAGAACTTGACCTCATTTTGCAAAGAGGAACTACTTTTTCTTGCTTGTCAATAAAAGCACATGGTAACTTTCAACACATACGTTGTTTCTGAAGAGAGCTGAAAGTAGTAGTTCCTAAGTGTATACTGCAATTCAACGCATTCTCTGTATCAGATATCTGTCTCCCGAAGGAAAAGGTATCGATGAAAAGCAGATAATTAAACTTTACTTGTACATCTTCCATATGCAAAATTTGTATTATACTCTTTGAAAATTGTACATGTTTATGACATTTTGTATCTGTTAGGGATTCTATTTCCAATCTTCTAAGGAAATAAATATGTTTCTCTTTTTTTAAAAAATAAAAGGAAAAGAGTATCAAACGTTTCCTGAATGATGAACTCATCTGATGAAGAATTTGCTAGAGTCTGAAATTCGGTAAATTTCTTTTTCAAGTAAAAACTGCTGAGTAAACTGAGTGCAAGAATATTTTTGGTTTCTAGATTGAATAATTTATCGGAAAAGATACATATGCACAACTGATTATTAAAATTATCTGACATGTGAGTGTTCAAATGGGAAATGCTGCCTGATGAAGTTGTGAGGCAGTACATTTTCTCACTTCGAAATCTAGTCCTCTACAATTTCTGATATCAAAAAAGAAATTATAAGAAATACCTCAAACTCACATCATTGCTTTCTCAGATGAAGCAGTAAACTTTTTCTGTGCAAATTCTCCATTCGTTTAAGGCTTTAGAATGGGCTGCTAAGTACTTAGATCTATTCATATTTTCCCTTAGTTAAACTGATGCATTTAATATTCTGAGCAACGCAAGAAAATTTTTTTATAAATGGGAATTTGGTGATCAAAAATTCTCTTGAACTTTAAACTTTTTTGAAAATCATAACCAGGATAAATTCTGGGTCCGAGGTAGAACTATACTGCTATCTTATTTGCACCTAACATATCTTGCTTTTTTTTCTTTCCGTTTCTTTTAAATTTACATTTTCGCTACCGACTAAAATGTCGCTGTACAATCTTCCCAGCATAGACGTATAATTCAAAAATATTTGCTAGGGATATAGTTTTTTTTTTTGGTGCAGTGCGAAGGAATGAACACAATTAATAGTGGAACAAGGAATCTAATCAAAGCAGTGATAAACGTTGAATTTTTTTGTTCACCTCAGGATTTTATATCTCTAAGCAGCAGAATCAAAAACATTTTTTTGCAACTTGGGCTGAAAGCTCGTTTTTTTTTTAAAAGAAAAGAAATATGCAAATTTTGACAAGATCACAACTTTCTTCGTTCGGTTTTAGTAACATGTGTAAATTTTACTTAAAATAAGCCGTCTAAGTTTAATTAGTTTTCATCTCTATTACCAAGTATGTGTCATATAAAGACCTTGTCAGAGAAGATTTATGGAAGATCCATCCACTCTGTAGGTTCAATGATTTGTAAAATAATTTAATATATTTTTGTACGTAATTTTCATTATTATAATCTGAACTCTAAAGTTTATGGTGTTAAAATTAAAAATGATAAGAATTAGCTTACAAATCTGTTCAATTATTTAAAACATATCAGACTTGAAGGCGATAGCAATAGATTTGATTTTTTAATAATTGTTACCTGCATTTCATGTATTACCATCTTTTTTTAGTCTATACATTCATTCTTTTCATTACAACTTCTCTGTATCACTACAGCCTTCCTCCCTCAGATGTCGATGAATTATGAATTTAATTCGAAAAAATGAATCATAAACTTTTGTTGCCCAATTTTATTGTCCTCCTTTCTTGTCAAGTCTCATCTTCTATTCTTATTTTTCTCAACTCAGGTGCATACTTTGTTTTTCTCTTCTTTTTAGAGTACCTATCGGTACACACAGAGACCATATTCTACCTGCAGGTAGATTTTGTAGATACGCAACCTTTTCCCTCAGATTATAATGACACAGAGTCATTTAAGTATCTCTAAGTATTTATCCTCCACCCCCTTTTTTTTGTATTTGAATTTGTTTTTTGACATTTCACCACATTGATGCTCACAATTCTCTGCAGTTTCAAATTTTCTCTGTGCCGTTAGTTTTATTTTGACAGAACAGAAATTAGTCCACAGCAGCTGTGATTAGCATTCACACAGTAATTTGTATTGTCTTGTTGAACCAAAGAAGCAATAACAAACCTTAAAAATCTCGAATTTTTCATCAAAAAAGCAAATGCCATATGCAGCGTGGAGAGAGCTGCCTGCTTTTTATCCAGGTATTACGACCTCCATTCGGCTCTCCATTCAGGATGAAAATTTGATAGAAAATTCAGAGTGAGATCCATTTGAAAAGTCAAATTTCATCAAAAAATTCCGACTGTTTCTTTGGTTTTATGATTTTTGCCCTCCGTTTTGAAGCGTACTCCTAGGAAACAAAGTATTCCTGTAGATCCTTTGAGCTTTCCTGTAAGTATATCAGCCGTAGGTACTTATCTAACTCTGTGTGATTTAATTGAAGGCTTTACGAAAATAGAAGCGTCTGAGACTACTCAGAGAGCAAAACGTTCTTATGTCAATCTGTGTAGCTTCTTAATGACCTCTTTGAGTGAAAATTAACTTTTTCTTATGGTAATGTTCAAAAAACAGTATTATCGAATTTGATGTATTATTCTTTTATAATTTTTGGAGATTACAACTGTTGTACATTTATTTAAATAGAAGTAATGAGAGGAATACTGACAATAAAAAAATACAGGGGGAACTCAAATGAAAATATACTTTAAAATACTTTTCTGCGTAATTTTTTCTTTTCCACTAATTTTTTTAATACCAGTTTTGTATAATTGAAAATGCTGTTACTAGTAATTTTAGAGTGCCATAATATTAATTTATTAATTGTCAATATCAATTTCCTTTGTTATTTATGTATGTTTTACTTAAATAAAACTGTAAATTGTAAAATAGATTTTCTTAACTTGCGTCATACATTTTTATTTTTCTTATTGCCCAAATATCTCCATAGAGTGGAGACTTCCGGTAAGTATAATCTCCCTATCTTATCAATGAAATGCCCTCAATTTTTACACAGTATTGCCTCCCCATAAGGAAAAATAACTACCTAAATAAATAAATCAATCAAAATCAATAGGTAAATGAAAAAAATTTAACCCAAGGCTCATATGAGGATATATATGTAACAATGGCGGTCGCTGACATCCGCCATTTTTAGGGCAAACGCTTTTTTCGAAATCTAGAGCCTCCAAGAATGCCTGTGCAAAGTTTCAGACTTCCAGCACAATTTTTCGGCGAGATATGAACTGAAAAACGTGTTATCTGTAAAAACAGCGGATGTTAGAATCCACTGTTTTCCCCAGCCTGCGCGGCAGGACACTGTGGAGATTCGAACCCACTTACAATAACTGTCAGCCCACCAGCTATGGGCTGTTGCTGACACTCAAATTATATGTATCGGGACCATCTCGCCAGAATTGTTGAATTTTTAACTGATTTTAGAATATAATCCTTGTTTTTGTCGTAAAAGTTACGAACGGTTTAGTTTCTCCTTCAATTTTGTTAAATGACTCAGCATTGACTTACTTTTGGTTCATTTCAATCGTTTCACCAGCCTTACCCTTCCGAAAACTTTGTTTCATGCATCAAAAAGTGTTTGTAGTAAAAATAGTGGATGTCACATTTTTTTCAAATCGCTGTTACTCCTTCAATTTTTCACTTACATATATTGTAAAACGTGTGTTCTTTACCGGAAGAGTTGCTCTTCATGAATATCTTTGTAAGAATCCTTTTGGTTCTACAGGCGGGAAAGTGCAAAGCTTCAAAAACTTCAAACGCGATTTTCTCACAATGTGAAAACTCGACATCCGCTATTGTTACAGATAAGTCCTCATATATTTTCTCAGCCACAGAAGTTACACTTTACTTTTTTTCTTTCATGGACCCCTTTGTAAGTCTCAATGAAAGCAAGGCTACACATTTTCCCCCTTTTTTTGTGACCGTTTATGTACAAGAGGATGGACCTTGGTCCACAGAAACTCCAGACTGAGTTAAGAGGCCTCCTATTAGGAAAAAAAGGTCTTCAAAATGAGCCACTGAATTGGGAAAATTTTGATTGACCAGAGTAGAAATTCTTAAAATTTTCTGATTGGAGGACTAAACTATGTATATCGATGATGTAAGTAGGAAGTAGGCAATCACATACCTCGGTTTGCGACATTGCAGACTTCCTGTCATACTTTATTTTTTAAATGGAAAATTACTCAGCAGCAATTCTTCCAAACTGCCGTAATTTTTCTTCTCTGTGCCAATAAAATTTTTGCAAAAACTTAAAGGAATTATGTCAATTTGTTCTCCTTTAGAAAAATAACATAGAGGCGGAGACTTTCAGACACCACAAACGAGATATCTGATTGCAGACTTACGCTGTCGATGCATATGAACCTCAATGAGACGCAAAGTTACAAAAGAACTTCAAAAAATTATCAAACAGCTCAGTAATATTTATTAAAGTATTTGACACAATAATTCAATTGAAAATAAGAAAATACATTGAAAAATTTGGAAAATTGCAAAACTTACATATTTTTGAATGTTTTTGGTTATACATTAGGCACTATTATAAAACTCCTTGGTTCAAGTATTGAAGTAGTTCATGTCAGTTTTTTAAGAACATCTTAAAAAAATCCATAAAGCAAAAATAACGTAAAATAAAAAGAAAAAAAGGAGGGAATTAAAAAATAAGACCAAAGTTACATATGCTAAGATAAATATGGTTTGACAAAAAGCACTCTTAAAAAACCTCTTGGTTATCATCAAGTACCTATGTCACTTCTTGCTCAAATAAAAATGACGAAAAAAACAACTTCTAGAAAATACTTATGAATAGATACCTCTAAAATTTAAAAAAAAAAAAAAGAATGAAAAAGCATTTAAGCCTGCAGTCAAAATAAAAATAAAAAAGAATTATTACAAAAAATACATAATCATGGAAATTTTTGATTGAACATATTATGTCACTTCCGCACAACCGTGTAGTTTTCATTTTGTGAGTTCTTTCACAATCGAAAAGAGAGACACAAATTCTTCAGGACATCTGAAATTCAATACCCTTCAGTTCTTATGGATTTGCGTTTAATGACTGCAGAATCAGCAGAGGGAGGAATTAAATTCTGTTTAACACTACGTATTGAAGCTTCAGCAAATTAACTATAAGTATTTATCTGCAGGATGGTTTGTGACTTTTCCAATCTTTCTTCTGGCAGTCTTGTGAGCAATATTTCACACGTTTACAGCGGGAGCAAGTCAGCAATTCTCGTATCCCATCCTGATAATGTTTTCGATGGGTACTGCCACAGGTTGCACATCTCACTTCGCTCCCCTCGGAGTCAGAACTTGACTCTTCATCATCCCAATACCCTCCATAACCAACAATTTCACCACTACCTGAGAAATTCATTCTCTCTATCATCATAATTCTTCCTATGCTGTCTTCAACTAATGGATCCACAAAAATAGGAGCTATTGTAGCACGTGTTGCATAATGCTCAAGTATATAACTCAAAGTTGGCCACTTCGTAATTTCATCACTTAAATAGTTTTGAGGAAATTTACCTACACCACAGGAGCAAATGGGCGATGAAGCGCTCCCATTTTCTTCATGTGCCCTTGGCACCTCTCCGGTCAAAACGTACTCACAGCTGGAGACATGTTCCCATGTTCGACATCGCTCAACCAATGAAGGCATTAGTGCTTCCCATGCTTTACTTGCAGCCTGGCTCATTGGGAAAAAGGCCACTGGACTATGGGCTGGTGTTGAATTTAGATCTTTTTCGGTCTTCGATTCTGATTTCGCAGCTCTTCCACCCAGATGAAAAGTGTTCAAGACATCGGTGATAGTATGTTTTTCAAGATCTAAGGACTTCATTGGACTTTCAAAGACTTCCTTAGTTTTGGGATCTGATTTCAAGGCATCAGAAACTGGAACCATTGCGCAATCAAGAACAACTGTATGGTTAGCAAGGTCCAGACGGAGGCAGGATGGAAAGACAAGAGTTACAGCGTGGTCAGGATGGACCATGAGACCAAAAGATGTAATTGGCGAAATTTGTATGCCTCCGTAATATATGAAGAGATTGAAGAGAATGTTCTTGAGTTCGAGTTGAATTTTATTCTGATCGATTTTCGCAATTTTTTCTTCATCTGGACAGATCATCAAAAACATATCCCGTTTAGACATCATTAAGTTCGTATGATATCTGAACCATGGAATGGCCTCTTCGTTTTTAAGATCTATTACAGGCATAACATCAAGGTTAATCCTTGTGGACGTCCATGATAAAGGTAATATTGAGTCTGTTGGAGTTTTAATGAGAGAGATGGGAAATAAGAAAAGAGAGGCATCTTCCAAAATGGGATTAAACAAAGAAGCTTCAACTTCAATACATCCCTTAACTACGCTGACTTTGCAATTGGAAGGAGATACAGGAACTGGAAATGTAAGCTCATGCGAAAATTGACCAAAACTGATGACAGCTTTTAATGGTGTTTTGAATTTGATATTAACTACTGACGACAAGGCAGCAATGTTTTCCTTTTCTACCTGCGACTCAGGAGAGATACAGTGAACTAACCTAAGGATTTCTGATCCATCATCTTCCATTTGCGCTTTAGTTACCAGGGATGCTAACTTATTACCCTCGGCTTTGAAAACCGAAAAATTAGGAAGCGCACGTGTTCCTGGCATAAATTGAGTAAGATGAACATCTTCATGAAATATTGACCGACGAACAAGACAAAGATCTTCTCCTAGATATTCATGATATGCCTCTTTATTCAACTCCGTTTTCAGGATACTGCAGGTTACCCATGCACCACCTTCTTTCAAGAGCATCTGTGTTGGGACCATGACTGATGCATACAAGTCTGCCTCACCATCCAGAAGGAAATAATCTTCTTTGATGAATGGGTGACACTTCTTTCCGTTTGATTGTTCATGCCATGTACCAAATACGATCTGAACAGAGGAAAAGGTGTTAAACCATGTATAGCCTGGTTCTATACTCTTGAAATTACAAACTAGGGCTACTGCAGTCGATACTAACCATTGAATCCCTACGTCAGTTTTCTCACATAAAGAATAATCAGTGAAAACTTTCAGCGTTTCTCTAGGGATTCGAACTGTGACACACAATACATCTGGCAAAGTATCTAATCTCGGAAAGGTTGATTCAAGTTTCTTGGACAGCTTGGTTGCAGGATCAGGTTTCAAGAAACGGCCAGTGTCAACCCCGTACAAATGCATGTTGAGAAAAAGGTCTTGCAGCGAATTGGATCTGAGGGATCCTGCAGGAGTGGTGGAGATAATTATATCATACAAATATTCTACACACTCATTCCAATTTGTTTTGACAGTGGTTCTCAGAATGTTCAAAAGCGATGCAAAGCTAGCACGGGTGTAATGAGGAAAACTTAGTTTCAAGATCGCTTTCCGCCCTGCCAATTTATCACTTGATTCAGGTGGGATACCTAAGTTTTCAAATTCGAACATAGCATCGTGTACTTTTCCTAGAAATATGGCAAGCGCTTTTGCATCGATATGAATATTACAGCTAGAATTTTCACATGTTTTTGATAATCTCCATCGCAAACGATGGAGGCCGCGCAAGTTAGTGATCCATTTTTTGGCAGATTCATATACCCATGGGTCTTCTTCAAACCTGTCAGAGGCATTAGTGAACAGTTGAGGGGCTACAAGCCCGAGTAATAGGGCCATTGTCTTTAGATGCACTCCAAAAAATTCGAACAGTCTATCCTCAGCTTTTGTTTCTGGTTCAAATGTCATTTCAGTATAGAGAATGCTAGATTCAAGAGGCTTGAGAAGAGTGGACGCGAGAGAAACTACATTCAAGGACCCCAAATGATCACACAGATCTGAGCTATCAATCACATCAAAACATAGAGGTGCAGCGTTTTTATCACTGTGGTAGTCGCTGTGATGAAGTGTTAGGCAGCTACTAGTAACGTTGCTACTGAATAAGTTCATCGACCTTGCTCTGTGAGGTAAGAGTACTTGACAGCTACGGAGAGTGAAACAAAAAGTCAGAGCATCGCCAGAGAAAATGCGAATTACTGATTTATTTTGAATTGCCTTTCTGAATGCAGAGGCCCAGAGTTCGAATTGTTTCTTTGCAGACGCAACTAAATATTCAGTAGCTGTTTTACCCTCACGATCAACAGAAAAGGTGGATCCTTTGAGAATTGGAGTGAAAGCAGTGCATAGCGGAAAACCAAGGAGAGGTGAGAGAGTGTGATGTAAAGTAATTGACTTCTGCGAGTACAAGAATGCTGGATTAGGTACAAAGGCTGATGAATTTCTAGGTGGTACTGTCCCGTGCTCCCACCAATGTTTGAAAACTTCTTCCATTGCTGAAGCACATTCTGCACTAGTTGTGGCAGGACTTGCAGCACGACTACTATCAGGATTAAATAGTTTCCGACCCGATAATAATTCCTCTTGAAACGCTTTTGCTTTGTCGATTGCATATTTTTCCATACTCAGGAAATCTTTTAACTGCTTGCCTGTCAATCCGTGTGATGAGAAGCAAATCCAATAAATCCTGACTTTAAATAATGACTCAGCGTCACAAAATCGGATGCTTGAACCATATACTGAGTTATTCCACATATCTATCGATTCTGATAGTTCAATCAGCTTTAGAACTTGGGTATCGAAAAGCAGGAGTGACTTGTCATCCACAGCCCAGTGGTAGTAAATATTCCAAATGAGATCAAGAGACTGATCTTCCTCGTCATCAATTAACAAAGTGTAGAGCAATACATTACGCGCATGAATACCAGGTATATCATCGCAGCACGTTACATCAATTTTCCTTGCAGTATCTACGAAACATGTGAACAAAACACTTGCTGCATCACCACAGCCAAGTAGGAGGATGTCTGCCTTTTGTCCTGGTGGAAGATTTTCAGTCAAAGACACAGCAGGTGTGCTACGAAATGGGTAATACGATTGTAATAAAGGAACAATAGTTGGATGGATCATTATGGGTCTTTTCAGGTTGCTAAAAGGGTAACAAGCAAATATTAGTGATGCGAAATGTGATGACAATTTTTTTTCACCAAAATACTCTGTAGCTTTGCTGAGATGTAAAGATTAATGAGACTCAGGGCAAAGTTTCATTCTCCTCATGGGACACTCGACAGGACCCTCAACTGAAACAAAAAAGGAACAGAAATTACAAATTATTATTATATTTTTATTTATTTATTTATTTTTTTCTTAAGAGGAAAAAAATTAAAATTTTAGATATACTTAGTATAAATATGAAAATAAGTTGAAAATATGTAATCTCTTCATTTAAAAATAAAGGTTTTATCAAGTAGACAACTAAACAAAGCGATGCAAGCAATATTTTTCTTTTAAGAACTCCCGACTTTCTTTGTGCAAAATGTGTTCATCATATTTGGTCAGTACAATTTTTGGTCTTCGGATGACAAAGAAATAATATCAAGATTCAATGGGAATGACGACTGAAAACACGCAGCTGTATGCCCTTCCAACTCATAATACTCCGGACCTCAAATCGCATTGAGTATGTAATTCATGTACTCTGAACTAACCCTTAAAAACATAATTGAGCCCTTCCTATGCCTGCTGATTGTCTGTGAGCAACATTTCACAGAAGTCATTCTCTGGAGGAGAGCAATTAGCAGCAACGTAACTGCAAAAACTTAAGTCTCGATTTGCAGCGTTACACTTTCCTGTCATACATTATATCTTAGATAGAAAACTGAGTACTCAATGTCATTTCTTGAGAATTAACTCTGGTGACTTTCCTTCCAAATGAAAAGTGTGTAAGTACAAGGCAAAAATTTCAAACCCTGAAACATAATGGGAGACCTAACAAACATGTCAGGTCTTCTTTTCAAGACTGAAATGGGAGCAAAGATTTTCAGACACCACAATTGTGTTACGGGTTTTGGCAGTTATCTACACTGTCAGTAGGTAGGTATGTGATAGGTGTCTCCGGTAGGTGATACAGTAAAGCATAGAGAAAAAAAGGAGGTGTTTGCATTTCGGGCATCTTGGAATTTTTTTGATGGCGTAGGTCAGTACGGTGACTTTTATCATCAATTTTCTTGGAAATGGTATAGTATGTGGAAAAAATTCATTCTACATAAGGTGTTTGAAATTATATCATGAGTTGATTTAAGCGAAATAATCGGACGCTATGGTCTGTTTTTCATACATTGAATTCCGGATTTTGCTCACCAGATTATACCAACCTACGTCACAGGGTACATAATCCTCATGATGCAAACACCTCTTTTTTTTTTTTCTCGAAGACAGTAAAGGAGTAGGCGCATTGTATGAGGTAGCTTCCAACATCAGCTCCTGCTCTAGGAGCTAACTATAATTCAATCTCAATGGGGTCCTGTTATAAATTATGGTATTAAGGTGATTTGATGGACGCCATATTTTGTGTCAGTACGGCATGTGATATATCGCATCAATCGGTTCCATTTTTTTAGCTACTCGTCATTTTTCTCCAATTTTCAGATCGCAATTCTGTTGTCAGGAGACTAAAGCACTCTTTTACCAATTTTAACAAAGAAATTCAACGTAATAAAGGCATGGTTTTTTTAGAGAGAAAATATCGCATTCGAGAGCAGTTTCGGTATCAGTATCGAATGCGATATTTTCTCTCTAAAAAATCCACTCCTTTATTACATTGAATTTCTTTGCTAAAATTGGTAAGTGAGTGCTTTAGTCTCCTGACAACAGAATTGCGATCTGAAAATTGGAGAAAAATGACGAGTAGCTAAAAAAATGGAACCGATTGATGCGATATATCGCATGCCGTTCTGACACAAAATATGGCGTCCATCGAATCACCTTAATAAATAAATAGGTGCAAACGATACCAATTAAGCTAGAGCTGGTTTGAATCTGAAACTAAGCAAAGTGGAATTGATGTAAGTAAGTGAAGAAATTATTCTCCAGTAAGTATACATAAAGAGCCCCGATTGTCCATAAGCCCTGACAGTTTCCTAGGGGCAAGCGGCAACTAATGTTGATTTGAACTAACACCGACTACGAGACATCAAGAAGCCGATGAATATCGACTAAAACATTGATGAGAGAGGGAAGTCTATCAAAATAGGAAAATAATTACCTCATTGAGAAGCACACTTGACCACGTGTTGAATGGTTGATACTTGCTGAACAAAACATTACGAACAAGAGGAAGAGAGAAAAAAATAAACAAGAATTGATGGTTGACCAATGACGCGGCATACACAGAAGAAAAGAGGATATAACAATCTTGACACCCTTCTTAAGCACGTTCGACTCCTGATTCAACACATTACACATTGATTTGAATCAGTAAAGAAATCTGCGTCGAAGGAATCATCGACGGTTTCGTTTACGTCGGTACAGCCGCGGACATACATCAACATGAACAGTGCAGTGATAGCAGCATGCCCGCGTCGCGAGCTGCGCATGCGCAGTGAAATTCATGAATGAACCATTCAAAACCGAACGGACCAATGAGAGATCAAGAATTCCTTATCGTACTCACTATCCCACTATGAGTAGTATTTTGTAGTAAGTGTTGCCAGATCGAACAAGGAAATGACGAAGCCGTGAAGCATGATTATACGGACTACATTTTTCAATTAGGGATTACAACCTCTGCTCATCCTTTGAAACGCATAATGTATGTAGGGAACTTAAGGTACGTAGGTACGTCATTTTTAAACTGAGCCACAAATTGTAATTCCCATGACGCAAAATGTAGTCCATATAATTTTTTATACTCGAGTTGTCATTCGGTTGCAACTGCTTATCTCACGTGCTCTATTAGCAAGCGTTTTCCGTCGAAATTTGAAAATTCGGTTTCTGAACTCCACTAGGTGAAAACAGCTTGGCAGAATGTTTCGCATCCGAAGATCGATGTTCTTTTCCTCGCAAACAGTTGCATTTAGCCACCCATACATGCAAGACGGCGCACAATTGTTCGAGTCAATTAGAGAGGTCAGGCATTAAAATTTTGACTAAAAGTGCAATATTGATGTTTATTTCGTCACATTTTAAATTTTAAGGGGTGCCTCTTGAAAGGGATTTCACGAGGAAATCATTGGAACCACTTTTAGAACCTCAAAGTTTCTTATAAACGGAATCACAAGTTTTTAAAGTTTCCAAATTTTGTCCGACCTCTCCTATTAACACCATCCAATGTGCGGCGCGCTGTCGGTCTCCAAAGTTCATATATACGAGGGTCATCCAAAAAGTAAGGTTCCCTGCCTTTTATCTTCCAAAAGAAGAGAGATAAATCAAAACGGTAAGTATACGCATATTAGGCACACTTTGAGCTTTAAAACAAGCCCAAGTTTTTGAAAATCGATCAAGGGGTTTGCGAGAAAACCTTATTTTACTGAGACAACCTCCTGTCGCCGCGTGCCCACCTCCGGGGTCAGGATGCCGGGGAGACTCGATTATTTCAGAATTGGGCATTCGCCTCGACACATCACATCAAGAAAGAATTTAAAAGTTTTCATTGAGTAGGTCTTAATTTACTTCTTGAAGTAGTCTCCACATCTTTTTTGACATTTTTGGTATCATTACAGCAGCTTCTTGATGCCGTCCTTGACAGCGATCTGCACTTCCAAAGCAGTTGCTTTGCGTCGGGAAATTTTCCCCCAATCCTCCACACTCTCTTAATTTAGCCTTATGTGACTTTCATCTGTTCCCGAACGGAAAAACTTCCACGATGAAAAACGATTGCCAACCGATTCAGAGGTACAGATCGGTGTCAATGACTTGTTTCGGAGCCAAGGCGAGAGCTTCTACGCAGACGGAATCAAGAAGCTGCTGTAATGATATACCAGAAATGTCAAAAAAGGTGTGGAGACTACGTCAGAAAGTAAATTAAGATCTACTCAATGAAAACTTTTAAATTCCTTCTTGATGTGATGTTTCGAGGCGAATGCCCGATTCTGAAATAGGTAATCGAGTCTCCCACGCATCCTGACCCCGGAGGTGGGCCCGCGGCGACAAGAGGTTGTCTCAGTAAAATGGACCGCGTTTAGCAGAAAGGAACCGAGCCAAATCAGTTATTGCCAAATTTAACTGGGCAATTTAATTTTTAACAAGAGAACGTTTGTGTGGATCCCGTTGAAAACAAGGAATTTGCCTCGCTTTTTTCAGAAAATTAATCGAAATTCGCATAAAATTCCGCACGGCCGTTTTCATGTAAAAACTTAAATTTCCCAGTTAAATTTGGCAATGGCTAATGTGGCTTGGTTCCTTTCAGCTTAACGCGATCCAAATAAGGTTTCCTCGCAAACCCCTTGATCGATTTCAAAAACTTGAGCTTGTTTTAAAGCTCAGAGTATGCCTAATATGCGTATACTTACCGATTTGATTTATCTCTCTTCGTTCGGAAGATACAAGGCAGGGAACCTTACTTTTTGGATGACCCTCGTACATTCGGCTCGTATGGTGCACGGCGTTGAGCGTGCAACTATTTTGACTCGTGAGAGGTTATTTCTGCCTACCAAAAAAATTGAAGGCGCTTCACTCGGCGTTATTCATCTCACATGGGCGTGGGTCTACTGCGACTGAAAGAATAACTGAAAGCCGATTGAAGGTTATTGCGACTGTCAGTCTCTCTTGTTCAAAGCCGGAAATAGTCCATGAATTGACCTAATTGGGAAAAAAGGTGATACTCTGAAATATCTAATCTATACTTCTCCGCCATAGAAGCAGCACAAAAACTAGGCGTGACTGTGTGGATACAGTTGGTACAACTGAGATATTTTGCGATGGTACCTAAACCGAGGCACAGTCCTATGTGTACTGTGCCTTGGTTCGCGACGTTGCAAATTTTCTGTCACACAGCTACGATATTTTGTTTGATATTTCCGTTTTTTTTTTTTTCAAAAATATTGACTATTATATTTTACAAGCACTTTCCGCAAAAGTGTAGAGGTACCTTTTTTCTCCTCGAGCAACTAAAATTTGTAATGTTTTGTTTCTTCGTTAACTTGTAGGGGGAAAATCTTAAATCTCGAGAAGGTTAAAAATATGAGAATGGAGAAAAAGGAGAAGAGGAGGGGAAGGAGGAGGAGAAGGAGAAAAACGCTATACTTCTGAAAATTTAAGTATATAAGGTTGAAACCTCAATCAACAGTAAATCAATACGACTTAATTCTACAACTATCAATAGCAACGTCCCAAATTTTTTGAGCGTAATTCATTTTATTTTATTTATTGTTTTTTCCTCACAAGGAAAACCAACCAAAGCACTAAATATGGTTTGAAATTGTCACAGAATGATAATGGAATGTTATTGAGCAGCCAGAATATATTTCAAATCTTGATGTTGATTTGATACATACATATGTGCGAAAAGAAATCCAGCTCGGTTTTGGAAGTTGCTCCTCGCTGAAAAGAAAGAACTAAATAAAAGTCTAAACCAGAAACCGATTTTTTATAATTTTGAGCTGGATACAAATTAACTTGTTGAAATTATCAGCTCAATAGATATACGCGGGCTCACGAATACGAAAGGGAATCATAAAAGGATGAAATTGGAAAATCAATCATTGAACCCGACCCGCGCGAGATATATGCTCGCACCAACTGACAAGCGGAAACCTCGGCTTGCCGTTTACTCATTCAGTCGAGTTTTTCAGACATTTGCATTAATAAGCACAATAACTTTGAACATCGTGCATTCATACTGCTGCGTTATTGTCGGATTTTGGAATACAAATTTGCATTATTCGAGTCATACGGAGCGACTCAGAGTTGAATGACCACATGGAAAATATTAAATTGCTGATTTAACAATTCAATTGCTAAAAACTCTGATAAAAATTGGCAATAGGAGTTGCGTTTCAAAATACCATAGGAACTCTTATAGCCGACTGAAGAGGGCGATAGAAAATCATACATCTGGCTGTAGAAAGTGGAAAAAATCATCCGGCCGGGCTACACGAAGCGATAAAAAATTGTACAGCCGGGCTATAGTTCCCATCGCCTGGCTTTACATTTTATCGCCATCGGCTATAAAAGGCTATAAGAAATTGTGTAGATATTCTTGTGCTTTGTAAATCCTTAAGTTTGTACGGAATCACCTTAATATTTACAAAACGCACATTATATTTTCCTTTACTACATATTTTTTTTTCTTCTTATCGCACTTTTCTTTAGCGATTTAATTTTTTCCATGCAGGCTGTAGGAGCGTGTTGTGTGGGTCTAAATAAGACCTTGACCTCCGTAAAGATTTTTTTACTAAAAGTGTTGTGTGTGTATGGGTAAAATTTTTGGGAAAATCGCCGTTTTTCCCTAATTTTTGCAAATGTTACAGACTAAAATTCAAGTAAAAGTTCCCTTGATTTTAAGAGCTGAAATAAACCACGGTCTCAAACAAATTGAATCCTGAATTCGGGGTTCTTTGATCCTCAGTGTAGAAAACTTTGTCCTCCTTGGATGCCCTAAATTTCTTCTTTCAGTAACTGAAATTTGTTATATTTTTGAGATCATAAATTATTTCAATGTCGGAAAGTACGGGAGACGACCAGTTATCATGAGTTTTGATCCAAAATTCAGGGAAAATGATGATTTCCTCAGGAACAACGAGGGGATCGCAGCTGCAAAAAGAAATTTTTTTCAGCGGAAAACGCCGTATTTTAACTCATAGAATATGCTCCTGTAGTATGTTCATTTGAGGGACACTCTGTAGGTATGGAAAAGGGTTCAAATTTCTAGGATCTGGCAACAAAGTATTGCAACGGTGAGGGCTCACTACACTGACGGCAGGCAAGCTCTCATCGTCGCTGCCACCCACAAAACCACGAAATTCCCATTTCTTGCGAGCTGCGATGATTTCTTTTTCTATTCATCTCTGACTTTTTGAGCTTCGATCAAATGGAAATTAGATCTCACCAAGAGACCTCTCCCTCATTAAGTGATCGCCATAATTATAATTATATGCTTCCTTCTCGCGTTTCCTTTTTGAATAAACATTAAAATGAATCGGGGGAAAAGAAAAACAGAAGACAAGTACAACGTGTGTCTCTCATTAGTAGTGGCAGCAACTTTGCTGTTTGTTCGATTTATTCGGTCTCGTCTCAGTAGTGATTGCATTTGCACACGTCAACGCCTTCATATGCTCTGACCAGTTCGCCTTGAAATGCTTAGTTAGGCAATTTGGGCGGCTTGGGAGTAGCAATAGTTGCTCGTAGTAGTTTCGTGCAGGCACGCGCTCGTTCGGTTTGAGTTGGCTGGTTTTACGATA